CCAGTGCACTTGAGATACGTTGAAGCACTCATAGTCTTTTTGCGCGGTCGAAATACGAAAAAAGTAGAGGTACAGAGGCGGATCGGCACATCCGGTGCGATCGGCACATCTGGTTCATTGGGAGTATGTTTTCCTTCACACTTTCTCGCAAAGCACAGAGGCTGACCAGCCATATGCTCACACAGCCTCATCTTGGTACCAACTCGCGTGCAAAAGCTGTACGCGCCAAGCGCGACCTTGGATGGGCTCCCACCAAAGGGGACGCCGACTTCTACAAGAACATCGAGGATGAGGTGGCGGCTATCCTTGTCGATCCCCGTAGCACGGACACTTCGGCCGACATCAACCATCTTGTAGTGGTGCAGTGAGGGTAGATAGTGTTCATTCGGTGCTCCGGTCGGTAGCTTTGTAGATGAGGATATCCCGGATAGTAACTTATTTAGTCGTGGGACTGGCCCCGCATCATTCATGGCACAATGCTTGTGAAGCTTAGAAAATAGAGCAACACTTCCCACATCTGTCTCTGGGCATGAGATACGTATCTGCTCTATACGCCGCACGACGCCGGCCCTGCCGAAGTACTGTGCACTGCGATTTATCATGGCGCGTCGGATAAACCCACATGATCGCGTTCGGCGCGTCAAACGACCAAGACGCGACCGGCAGTGTACGCGGTTGCCTCCAGCGACGATGGCAGAAATGTTCAGTCTAAACCAGTCATGCATTGCATTCCATATACCTTTATGATCCACTCACACACGACGCTGCAGCAGTTTGAAACACACCTTGTTGTAACGACAGCGTGCCTGAGTTCTCGGTGGCCGCCCGTGTTTTTGTTTTCGGAGCATTGTTCCTGCCTCTCTTATTGACATGGGTCGCGTCAGACTTCCTATAGGACAGCGCACCTGACGCTCGCAAGATACCAATTACGCCATCTCCCTGGTCGATGCCCTTCGCCATGACTCGCGTAACGCAAGACATCCCCGACTGGACGACTGCTCCACCAAACGATGAGGACCAACCTTACACTTTCAGATACCTCCAGAACCCGGACTCGGAGACATGGCTGAGAGGTGGCTCGACGCATAGCTTCTGCCCTCGCCGCGGCGACTTCGTTGTGCTTCAACTGGACCCAAAGGCCTCTGCTGCGCACCTTGACGCCGCTGCACGCAGAGCCGCTCGGGCAATCCGTCCGAGAAAGTATGTGGCGTTCATCCTCCAGGTGCGTGCTTGCGACCGTGTGCTCTCGAATACAGGGCTCTGACACGAGATGAAGGGATATGGGATACCACTTCCTACCAAACCGACCGACCCTCATGACATACTTCTCGTCCGTCGTGGAATGCCACGGGCCCGCAAGCCGCCATTCGACGCCCCGGAGACGTGCATCCCTATCCTCCCCAACACATCCCACCCTCTATCTCGCAATCCGGTACGCCCGGCTCAGCCGCTACCGTGGCCCGACCGCTACCTGGAGACCACATTCGGTTTACCAGTCTCTTGCCGTATCACGACTACTCAGCGAAACTATACGTCAGTCCTGCCTATCTCTATACCCGACCTCATCAAGATGCGGAAATACGTCCGTGAAGATCAAGAAAGGCGTTTCGACCTTAGAGATAGGCTGCGGGCGGGTTCGCTGGATGCTGTGGCTTCGATACCCCTTCCGGCCTCTCCGGATCGCTCGACGGCCAGCCTTCAAGCCGGTCCCCTATTCTCGCCTGGTTCAACTTTGTCTGTCAAGCGCGATAGAGAGAACACTCTCAGTGATACAGCATCGTCCCGCTCATCAGTTTCTAGCCCTGGGCAGAACGCCGACGCCGACGTCATATCCATTATCGCCAGCGATAACAGTGACATCGACGACGAAATCCAGGATGACCGCGATCGCGAACATCATAGACAACTCGACCTGGGCATGATGCTCCACTTCCAGGACTTTATGAACGATACTGGAGATCTTGACGATCCAGTCGTCAACGTCTGGTATGATCTGGATGAAGTATCCGAAATCCACGACCCGGACCTGTTTCTTGAAGAGTGCGCGCAGGTTAAACGGTATGTGTATGAAAATTTGGGTAGCATTCGGTGCTCATGCATGCCACAGGATTGCTCATGATGCGAAACTAAGGCTGGGCATCATCGCGGGCGATACTGAGGAGGACGAACTTCGGCTCTCACGTCCGTCGCCCCTGTGCTCGGATGCTCCTGCGCCAGCGGAGCCCGGCTGCAACCTAGAAGCCTCGCAAATAGTGGGCACGTCTACCAGTTTGTCTGAGCCCTCGTCCTTGTGCGTTGATATGACCGACCCTAGCAGAAGACGGGGGTCCGCAGAGAACGCTGCGCTGGCTCAATGTATCGCGCAAGCTGAACTCGCTCCTAGCACGTGTGAGAGATCATCTTTGCGGTAGAACTCTATACACTCGTCGCAAATAATAACCTTCTCTTTCCGGCACACTCGATTAGTACGCCTCAACCTTCGCTGATTGGACTCGCACATGCGTTTTGGAGCAAAAGTACAAGGTTCAATATGGCACGTAGATTAAAAGTACATGAATTGCGTGCAGCCAATGTTAAGATGTAATGCAATCGCTCTCTTCCACTCGTCCTTGCCCCTACTGTCCATCGTAACGCGTGCCATTCTCAGCAGTACACCACTCAATGATCACACAAGGCGGGGAGAGACCATCGGGCTCATCACCAGCGTCAGTCAGCAGCAACGCGACGACGCCGTGCGGCGGGACGGCCTCAGCTGTGAAGTTGCGTATGGCTGTTCCGTTATCAGTATGTGTCCAGAGATCGCGTACGTTGTACTCTCTTCCAGCGCGGATCCAGGGCGATTCGGTCAGGTTGAAGACTGAAGGTCATACAGTAGCATGAGCACGGGCCGACGAGGGGTAAGCATGTGGACGTACACATGTCAGCGGGCTCGTCGAGTGTGTTGAGCAACATGAAGACCGTGCCGTTTTCACTTTGACCGGACCAATACTGTGCGGGGAAAGACGAGTTGAACGTCCAGTCGGGCTACACGAGACGGAGCGTCAGCATTAAAGCTCTTTCTATTGAAGGGATAGAACAAACGTTGAGGCCCCATCGGAACGGTTGGATAGACTTGCCCACGACTGGGTCTTGATTGATCGCGATGATCTCCGGGTTGGTGAGGATCTCCAGCGTCTCGTTCGTGACCGTCGTGAGCTATATGATCGGCGTCAGATCTAAGTTACACGCAGATCTTCAGGCATTCCTTGCACTCACATCGGTACTGATGAGAAGCGTACTCTTCATGAGGGCCCAGGCCGTAAAGTGAGACTTCTGCTCGTCAAAGGTCATGTCCCCATTGCCACTGTACACACGTCAGTGAGGCTCGCTTCGCTCGTGTACCCGCCCTTACACTTCCAGCTAGAAAGACCACAGATGAGTACGCATATATGGTGGACACGATAGAGGCTTACAATGTCCATGTCATTTCGTCTGCAAGGTGGATGAGCGAGTACGCTGAAGTCATGGAAGTAAGAGCGCACCCATAGAAGTCGGTGGCCCAGGTGATGAACGAGTTGCTGAGTGTATGGTTTCAGTTATAGCGATAGCAGCGCACTGACGAGGACTGCATACGCGTTAATGATGCTGGCCAAGATCCACCATTCAGGCCCAATGTCGTCGGTAGTCTACCCATCCATTAGTATCTGAAGATCACTTTGACAAGTGTTACTTACTCTCCAGCTCTGACCGAACTCGCGCGCCCAGTACCACGGTTGTTCCTGTGACCATCTATGAGCACATGCCTGTTTGAGTGAGAACAGAGATCTCACCCTTCCCCACTGGCACAAGGAGTAAATGATGGGCTTCTCGCCAGTCGTCGTGGACAGGTTCGCGATGGCATCCGCCATGCGCTTGAACTTGCCGTATTGGCCTTGGCGAAGGATATCGTCGAATGGTTCTACAAGTGTTTATTATAAGCCTCTACGCCGGGGTGGTGCATTCGCGATATATAACGTACCAGCACAGTTATCGTACTTCAGCAAGTCGAAGCCCCAGTCCTGGAAGGTTTGAATATCTTGCGCCTCGTGCATGAATGAACCGGGGTACATCTGGCACGTAAACCAGCCAGAGTCGCTGTAGATTCCCGTAGACCTACAAACGAATCAGTCAAATTTTGAAGGTGTAGGGTGCCCGAAGCACATACATGCCCATCCCGTGAATCTGATCTGTCAAGTTCTTCATTCCATTCGGGAAGCGCTCCGCGTCTAGAGACCGTTCATCAATGTCCAGGAAACAGGGTTCTTAGGTAGAACACAACGAACCTGCAACAACGCTTCCATCTGCGCTCCGGTTCTTCTCAGCCCAACAATCGTCGATGTTCATGAAATTGTAGCCAGCGTCGACCAGACCGAGCGATACCATGAGATTGGACTGCTGAAGCACTATATCCTCGCTGATCTCGCACTGTTCATGACCGCTTGAGTATCTTCAACCTCCACTGTACGAGTCCTCAACTACGCACGGCGAACGCGTTCCAGGCTATGACACCCTCCAGTCAGCCCTCACGCGTCGCACACTCAGTGTACTGCGGACGTACTGTTGTACCCCATCACAGGCAGCTTAGCCACACCATCATCGTTCGCCTTCACCCTCTGCACACCAATACTGCCCCTACCCTCTTCACCGGACCCGAAGTCAAATCCAAGCAGCACAAGCGCGAGTGCCACAGATCCCAGCATAGTCCCGAGCGTCAAGTACACCCTCCTAGGCGTCCACTCCGCACCTGCTTATATATGAGCTCACGAGCACTCTCTTCGCGAAGCCATAGAAACGTTCGAACGCCGCGTCTCCATACCCAACAATAGCAGAAACGTACCGCGTCGCGTATGCGTACTCTGATCGTTCCAGCTCGAAGAAGCACCCTTGGCGTCTGCTGACGGGTAAGCGCCAGATAGAGGCGCAGGGCAGCTGCTCATGGTCGTTCGGGAAGAGCAGCAGGCTGTGCACGCGTACGACCCATGGTGGGCGCGGCGTTCAGCTGAGCGCCTTCGATGGCTTCGAAGCGGCGCACATCAGCGCGCATGACGCGTAGGGCACGTGGGCGCGCGCCTCCTCATCCAGGCGCGGCCCGCCGTCGTTCCCAGCCACATACAGCTTCGGAACTACGCGAAAGAAGCGGTCCAGCCTACCTTGGCTGTACGACAGCTTGACAGCTTACGATGATGATCACGCATGTAGAGCAGAGACAGACATGTAGAAAAGACAGAAGACTAAAACAGCAAGGCAAGCGGGGTGGGTGCGAGTACAAGATGGGGGGAAAGGGCTACAGTGACAGCGTACAACGTACAGTACAAACACTACACGTCTCTCCACTCAAAAACTCATATTCACGGGAGGAGAAACAGATCATCGGAGACCAGCGGTCGCCTTCTGGAGCGCGCGCTTGATACCGAGCTCAGCCTTGCGGAGCTCGTCCGCGGTGCTGTCCTCGATCTCAAGCTTCTCGAGCGCGCGTGCAAGCTCAGCCTCGACCTGCGCCTTAGCACCGCGCTTGAGCTTCATGCCGATCTCCGGGCTGGTGATCGTGCTCTCGACCTGGTGGATGTACGCCTCGAGGTTAGACTTGGCGTCGTGGCGGGCGCTGAAGTCCTTGTCGGCCTGCTTGAACTGCTCGGCGTCCTTGATCATCTGGTCGATCTCGGCGCTCGAGAGACGGCCGACAGAGTTGGTGATGCTGATCGATGCCTTGCGGCCCGAAGCACGGTCCATTGCGGAGACCTTGAGGAGACCGTTGGCGTCGACCTCGAAGGTGGTGACGAGCTCTGCCTGGCCACGGGGCATAGGCGGGATACCGGTGAGCTCGAACTCGCCGAGCAGGCGGTTGTCGCGGCACTGTGTGCGCTCACCCTCGTACCTGTGTTATATTTAGCAAAGTTGGTCGTTCTAGAAAGAAGGACAGGCGCTTACACAGGGAAGGTAACCGTCGTCTGGTTGTCCTCGACGGTGGTGAAGGTACGCGACTTGTTCGTCGGGATGGGGGTGTTGCGGGGAACGACAACACCGAAGACATCACCCTGCATGGCAACACCGAGCGAGAGTGGTGCAACGTCGAGGAGGAGCAGGTCCTGCGTCTTCTCGGATGTCTGGCCAGTGAGAACGGCGGCCTGAACGGCAGCACCGTATGCGACAGCCTCGTCGGGGTTGATCGACTTGTTCAATTGGCGGCCACCGAAGAACTCGGAGACGAGCGACTGGACCTTGGGGATACGGGTCGAGCCACCAACGAGAACGATGTCGTCGACCTTCTCGCGGGGGATCTTCGCGTCCTTGAGGACCTTCTCAACGGGCTCCATGGTCGACTTGAACATGGCGGCGTTGATCTCCTCGAAGCGGGCACGGGTGATGTTGGAGGAGAAGTCCTCACCCTAAAAACGAGTCAGAACAAGTATTACAGGAGTTCAAGTACAAGTACGTACCTGGTAGAGCGAGTCAACCTCGACGTTGGTCTGAGTGACCGAGGAAAGAGTGCGCTTGGCACGCTCGCATGCGGAACGGAGACGGCGGAGAGCACGGGCGTCGTCGGAGATGTCGAGCTTGGTCTTGCGCTGGAACTCCTTCTTGAAGTGCTCAAGGAGGGCGTTGTCGAAGTCCTCACCACCCAAGTGGGTGTTACCGGCGGTGGCCTTGACGGCGAAGACACCACCAGAGATGTTGAGGAGGGAGACATCGAAAGTACCTCCGCCAAGATCGAAGATGAGGACATTGCGCTCAGTCTTGGACTGCTGGTCAAGACCGTAGGCGATGGCGGCGGCGGTGGGCTCGTTGATGATACGGAGGACGTCGAGACCGGCGATGGCACCAGCATCCTTGGTTGCCAGACGCTGGGAGTCGTTGAAGTAGGCGGGAACGGTGACGACGGCCTTCTTGACCGACTTTCCGAGCTTCGCCTCGGAGATGTCGCGCATCTTGGTGAGGACCATGGCGGAGATCTCCTGGGGCGAGAACGTCTTCTCCTCGCCGAGGTACTCGACCTTGATCATCGGCGATCCGTCCTTCTCCGTCACCTCGAACGGCCAGTGTGTCATGTCCTGCCGCCATATATCAGGATCCTGGCGCAAGACCGGAATGCATCGATCAAACTCTCACCTTTTTCACGTCGGGGTCGCTGGGGAGTAAGATTACCATATTAGCAAGAGAAGATCAAAAGTGTCGCCCATCAATACTCACTCGAAGCGGCGACCGATGAGGCGTTTTGCGTCAAAGACGGTGTTTTTCGGGTTCATCGCGGCCTGGTTCTTGGCCGCATCGCCAATGAGGCGCTCCTCGGCCGAGAAAGCGACGTACGAGGGCGTCGTGCGGTTACCCTCTGCTCGCCGTAAGCATCGTCGAGCACGCCGCATGCACTCATATATACTCACGGTCGTTGGCGATGATCTCGACACGGTCGTTTTGCCAGACACCTACGCAACTGCAAAGAAAAAAGTTCAGCACGCGGCCCAATCTCAATATTCCTATTCCAGATCGACGCACGAGTAGGTGGTGCCGAGGTCGATGCCGATGGCACCGTCGAAAGCGTCCTCTGCCGACATGTTTTTTGAATAAGAAGAGAGTGGAAGGGAGGGTGAGGCGGTTGTATTGGCGGAAGGCAAGGTGCGAGGTAGACGCGCAGATCGAAAATTGGGTCGGTCGATCGGCAGATGCCGGCCGGTCCGCGCTTCCCGAGGCTCTGGCGCGCGACGCGCTTGGGACAAGTCGCGTTTCGCTGGCTTTGCCTCTGGCCATGAACTCGCTCCGGACCGCGTCCAAAGCCTCGCGCTCGGCTCAGCGAAGATATTCTTCAAACTGGGTATCCAACAGCCGGCCAGAGAAGTTAGAGACTACTCAGGACTGGTCAAATCTCTCGGTCTCGCGAGCACATAGGCGAGGACAGCGTACGTTCACCATGATACTCGGCGAAACTATGAACTGACATAACATGTAGTTCAATTTCTGTCACAGTTTGGGTCTGAGCAAACACGAACATGGAAGCCTCATATGCAGCTGCATAAGGCTACCAAGCCGCGTGACACGACGCTGAACGCGCTCGTAGCAGCCGGCGCCCACTTCGGACACTCGACCTCGCTCATGAACCCCCACTTCATACCCTATGCCTACGGAGCACGTGCAGGAATAACCGTCATTGATATGGACCAAACCCTACCCATGCTCCGCCGGGCAGCCTCGGTTGTTCGCGGCATCCTCGCCAACGACGGCACGATCCTCTTCGTCGGCACTCGGCCCGACCTTGGTCCTGCAGCACGCAAAGCAGCTCAACGCGTAGGAGATAACGCATACTATGTTGCGAGCAAGTGGACGAGCGGCTTGTTGACGAACCGCACGCAGTTCTATGGCGATGCGAGTGTCGACATGCGTGTGGTGCCCGACTGCGTGGTCGTGCTCAACCCGTTGCAGAACATGCACGCATTACGCGAGTGTGCACTCGAGCATGTTCCCACAATTGGCATCATCGACTCGAATGTCGACCCGCGTATCGTCATGTACCCCATACCCGCCAACGACGAAAGCACACGGACGGCCGAGTTGGTGGCCGGCGTGCTGTCCATTGCCGCTCGCGAGGGTCTCGCACTTCGCAAGGAGGAGCATGCGGACGACCTCGTCAGGGAACTCTCGAGCCTGACCGATGAGGACTTCACCGAGGAGCCGGAGGAGGAGACCGACCCTGATGCTGTGGCTCTGGAGGCCGAAGCCGAGGAGAACGAGAGACTCCTTGCAGATGTAACGCGACAGGAGGACGCTTTGGATGCGTTGGAGGCGATGGAAGGTGCCGAGGAGTCGGCTGATCTCGCCGGTCTGGACGAGATAGCGGCTATGAGCGAGGAGGCGCTTTCGCAGGTCAAGGCGCTTCGGGGAGAGAAGGGCTCAAAAAGCTAGTTGCACCGGTAGACGCCACACATGTCTATAATGCTTTTAATTGCTTTCTCTTGCTGGCTCATGCACCCCGGTGCGGACGCGTTACCGCCATCGTGATAGCGTACATAGAAGCCTGCCCGAACCCTAACCGTTCATCATCACAATAGGCCTTTTCTCTCGTCGCCGCGTCGGTTCTCATCTTCGTCGTCGGTTGCGTCGGAGCTTGCGTCGGATTCGCACCGCCTATACGGTCGTCTTGCGGATGTCATGAGCAGACGCTGTAGGCTGCACGGGTGTGTGACGGGCAGTCATTCTCTTCTTGGCCCACGGCCCGAATCCTCCATGTCCTTCAAGCTTGTAGGGCATGACGCGCGTATCGACGTGGTCCTGCAAGTTGCGAAGGGCGTCGATGAAGCTTTCATATAATCCGCTCCGTACCGCGCGGCTAACAGATGATCAGTCGTCTGTCTGCCGGAGTATCATGAACAAGCTCACAGTCCAATGAGTCTGTCGACGTTCTGAATGATCATCTGAAACTCGACAGATGGCGGCAGCTGTTGATCTTCCTCCTTCATCTTGAAATACTCGTACCAAGCCCAGAACGGCAAAGGCCCTTTGACGGACTCTTCGTCGAAGTAGAAGGTATTGGGGAAACTCAGCTCGGACGATAGGTAGATGTTCCTATCGTGTTCGGGCGTGTACATGACATGCGCGATCAGCGTCAAGACATTGCATGCCGCCATATGCGTTGGGGGCCCATTGGGCGACCGGCAGCAGCCCGCATCGTGGAGAGGCACAAGACACGATGGTCCATCCGTAATGGGAGCGTGATGGACGCCCGGAATGTCAACCATGTCCAGCACATTATATAGAGAGGTGTTCAATAAAGTCAGCAGTTCCCCGGCCATCGATTCAGCGCCTCGGCTGAACTGCCTCGATTTATCGCTCGACGGTACCTCCAGAGAAGCACGATAGTGCCTGCGTGATACATCCCCGCCACTCAGGCTAAGGAGGAAATGACGCATATAGAAGAGGGCGCATCTGGCCCGGAACATACAACGTGTATCGCCGCGCATCCTGGGCCCCAAAGAACCATTGGGCCCTATGATATTGAGGAGAATAGATGCGCAGTGTTTCATCAGCACCCTATGTTCTTCGGTGGTGTCGGAGTCGTCGATACGCCTAAGCCGTTGCAGCAACACGCAGCTGAAGTGCAGAACCGATATCTGCGCATCAGCGGCCATGTCTCTTGTATGGGAAGGATCCCACGCCCATGCTTGCAGCTTTGTCTGGAGGTTCTGATTCTCGCATAGATGATCTATACATCCTGGACGGGAGTCGGGTAGAACTTGTTCGTTCACCATCCTCAAAAGAGCGTGCAACAATGACGCTATCTCAGCATCTGTGACGAGCGTTTGATGGCTCATGTAACGCGACAAGGCATATACAAAGTGTTTTGTACGCAGAATCGGGGCATGGCTTCGATGCAAGCGACGCCTCCTGTGGATGATCTTGATCTGCAGGGGCGGCTGAACCTGGGAAGAAGGGCTGGATCTACATCTCCAAGGAAGGTGGGACCCGAGAGCATACAGAGACCTCGCGACACATTGCGCGATCCAACTGAAGAGATAGGCGATGGCAGCGAGAAGATATGTCAAGGGCGTCCTGTAAGGGCAGCCAGAGTGATAGATTGGCAGTATACTCGCGACGATATATGCCGCGCCGAGAAGACCGAGAACCGCCGTTGTGTACCATGCGACGATAGAGTTCAAAGGGAACAGGAACAAGAGCAGGCCTCCCGCAAAGAGGAAGACTGAAAGATGCATTAAGGAAACGATAACGTAGACGATCTGGTCCATCCCGTAGAGATCGACGCCCATCCGGAGGTAGATGTGATTGTATGCACGGCTTAGGAGGTCCTCATCAAGTTTGTTCCGCGACTTCATGTCCCGCTTGTAGTCCCGAGCCCATTGTTGGACAAGCGTTGCAAGAAGAGCGCAGCCTAGGGAGATCACAAGAGAGCAGAACCAAAGCGCGTTCGAGATGACGGCCACCACGGGAGCATCGAACGAGCTGTCATTTATTGCGGACGATATGGGAAGCGCCGTGGAGTTCTGAATAGCGATCAACAACTTGAGCAACTCGACCGTCTCGTCTCCAGAGTCGACGGAGAGCTGCTTGTAGCCCTCTATGACAAAGGCCGCTACAGTTGCAGCAAACAACCCCGTCTGAGAGCGAAGTCAGCAATCCAACATCATATGTGCAGCGCTTAGAATCCTCACAAACGTCAGGATACCCGTCGTATTTCCATCCCACTCGTGGGCTCTTCTCTCGTCGTCTTCTTCCATGAGCTCCAAGTACTTCTGCCAGAATGCGTTGAGAGGATCTTTCTCGCCAGCTGGCGTCGATGACGCGTCTCCGTCTGTTGAGAGATGATTGAACCTCGACATGGCTGTTGCCCTTCGTTGTAACAGGTAACTCACGATGGGGCGACATAAAAGAGTCGTTGCAAGGTTTGGGAAATAATCAATGTCGGGGGAAACGCGAAGAACAAGACTGGCATCGGAGAGTACATCCCTGGATAGGGTGATTAGGATATAATGCGATCGAAGTGTCTCCGACGGATGACCTGACGCTTCGCGGTGGTCTTCTGGTGCAGGCACACGCATGTTGAATGAACGACCGCCATAAGGTTCGGGAAACACCCATTCTAGACTGGTAGACGCGAACAGCGGCGTGCGGAGATTCTGTGGTGTTCAACGAAGCCGAGTAACGCACGCTCACGGTACACTGTGCACCATACCGGGCAACACTTGTGCGACGCGTGCTACACAGACCTCTGCGGGCACTGATGGCAATGCGGATCTCCTTGCCTGCTGAAGGCGAGGACGCCACAATGCGAGTTCGCCTGCATATATAGGTGAGGGCTACTGCCATGTATGTCTGCGTGAGAAATCGCTGGGAGGAGTGATGCTGCAATTCAAAGACGGAGTTTCAGTGCTTGGTGACGGGCGTAATCACCGTTCGGTCTTGAACCCTCAGAGAACGGAGATTGCGAGCCGCTGACGAGCAGCCTTCTCGGAGGCTAAAGCCGCTATCAGAGCGACTCCGCTCGGAGCAAGTATAGAAGACTGAGGGCGCTATGGTTCTTCATACTGTGCATGGTTCGAATCTAGGCGTGGGTTTGAACCAGCCTACGTCGACCTCTCGCTGACGTTGGGCTTCGAGCTTTACCCGAGAGCAGAGTAGAAGCCTTCCATCATAGTCGCACATAGTGATAAGGCAAGGATATGGAAAAGAGAAGAGCGCTATCATAGGCCCACAGTGCCATGATCGTGGTTGCAAGCCAACCAACTTGCGGGCGGGGAACCTGCCGTCGGCGGTCCGTTCCGGTCCGGGAATCTCCCACACAACATTTGTCTGGAGGCGTTGGTGCCCAACTTGCGGTATACTTTGATGTCCACTTCAAGGACGGAAGTGGACCAGCATCACGCACTTCCTCACTTTTCATGTCACTATCATACACTCGAACTTGTGCGCTGAAGCGATCGTTTCCACCGACAGCACGGCTAGTATGCGCGCATCCGTTGTCCACCTCGGGTTTGATGCACGCCCTCGCAAACGGGTACTTCATTCGACAATCAATATACATCGCATAGCTATGCACCGCGCAAACTGGTAAGTACAGATGCCGCCTCCTTTTCGACGCCCGTCAAGAACTCCGCGTCGCCTTTTGTCGGCGCCCAGCCAAGATCGCGTTTGGCGCGCACGCCCTTTGCGCGGCAATTGGTACCCAGCCAAGGCCTCTGCATAGCGATGAGCATGGCGCCGTACTGTGAAAGTGACCAGTGCAGCACGTACTCCGCCGAAGAACCTGTCAATGTCCCCTTTCGTGAAACTCTCCGGTTCTGCCGTCCGACTACGCCCAGCAGCGTGGAGGGCTCGAGTGTATGCCGCGGCAGTGTCCTTCAGGCGATAGACTCCGTTCTCCCCTATGTATTGCCCATCGCGGCCATGCGGAACGGTACCGGCGACAGCGGCGTTTAAGAGGCGGATGTACAGATCAGCAAGCTCGTGTATCTCGACGTGAAGCCACTCGTTCTCTCCCAGGCCGATCATGGCTCCCTGTCCCTTCCGGATGCTAGCCTTGATTGCGGCGGGTATCTGGATACTATGCGAGTTGGCAATGCCTGCGTCGACGAGCTTCCCCGTGAGGATCCCCCATACCGTTGACGGAAGCACGATGTACGATCTGACATAGCCTTCCGTATCTCCCTCTAACACGAGCAGGTCAACGTTGCGATGAAAGGCAGTGTCGGGAAGGGCATCCATGACCGCGCGGTCACTGTCGTCGTACAATGGGAGACTCTCAGGGTCGAAGCGTGTACCCACCGCGCCGTCAATGAAGGCGCCGGTACCGGAGGTGTGGATGTAGATGGGAGCGACACCGGTCGTTTGAAAGCGCTCTTTGTTACCGGCGAGTACTGCCTTGGCGGCGCCTACATGATCTGCGTGTGCCTGTGCATCCACTTTATCAGCACTTCTCTCATGCTTCGTGAAGGATGACAAACGCAATGAAGCACTATATCGGCGGCAGCCGCTGCTCGCTGAATCTTGTCCAGATCGTCCAACGAACCGAGAATGGTCTTGACGCCAAACCCCTCCAGTTTCTTAGCCTTCTCTGTGTTGCGTACGAGTGCTGTGATCGAGTAGTCAGACAAGTCGAGAAGATGTTCTAGGATCGAGCCTCCAATGTAACCCGTGGCGCCGAGGAGGAAGATCGTCTTGCCCATAGTGTTCAAGGAGAGCAAGAGCACACAGACCTTCAGGCTAGTGAAGACGACACAGATGTCGTTCGACTGAACTTATAAAGCTCGTAACACGATGACGAGCGAATGTGTGCGGGTGAGGCAACAGTCGTTCCCGCTTACACACCCTAAGAGGAGCAGCGTATCGGAGCTCGTGCTCAATCACACGGCAGAAGCCGGTGACCACCGACGGTTCATCTGAGTGTCCGGTTTATGGCCATGGCTACATTTCTTACATGATTGATTCACTCCTTAGCCTACAAGTCCGAGCTACTCTAGCGCAGTTCATGCAGCTCTGTGCCGTGCGGGTCGGCCAGAATAGACGCTACTTCCTCCTCGATGCTCTTGAAGAAGTCCGCATCGCCTTTAGTGGGCGCCCAACCAAGGTCACGCTTGGCGCGTACGGCCTTTGCACGCGAGTTCGAGCCGAGGTAGGGCTATATCAAAGAGTCAGTATCCATACATCATCACGAATTGAAGGTGGCACATACCCCGCCAAAGTACTTGTCAATATCCTCCTTGGTGAAGCTCTCCGGCTCGGGTGTGCGACTCTTGCCAGCTGCGTGAAGCGCGCGTGTGTACGTCTTAGCGGCATCCTTAAGGAGATATGTGCCATTCTCGCCGATGTACAATCCATCGCGGCCGTGCGTCGCAGTGCCATCAATCGCGGCTTTGAGGAGACGAATGTACAAGTCGGAGAGCTCGTGGATCTCGACGTGCGGCCACTCGTTTTCACCAGGCCCGACCACGGCACCCTGTCCCCTCAAGATGCTCGCTTTGATCGCGATGGGGATCTGGATGCTGTGAGGGTTGGCGATGCCAGCGTCGACGAGCTTTCCAGTGAGAAGACCGTAGATTGTGGATGGAAGCACGATGTACGACTTCACATAGCCCTCTTCGTCGCCGCCGAGCACGATCAGGTCTACGTTGCGGTGGACCGCCGAGTCAGGGATGGAGTCTAGTACAGCACGGTTGCTGTCGTCGTAGAGAGGCAGCTTTGCAGGATCGTAGTGCGTTCCAAGCGCGTGATCGGTGAAGACGCCGGTGCCGGACGTGTGAATGTAGATGGGTGCAACGCCGGTCTTCTCGAAGCGCACCTTAGCCCCGGCGAGGATCGCTTTCGCAGCGCCGACGTGATCAGCATGTGCCTACAAGCTCTCATCAGTATCATAGAGCTGATTACATCTATTGAACGTATACGAACGGTGTGGATGGTGATGTCGGCGTCCGCGGCAGCCTGCTGAATCTTGTCGGAGTCGTCAAGGTTGCCGAGAATCGTCTTGACACCGAACGTCTCTAACTTCTTCGCCTTATCGGCGTTGCGGACGAGCGCGGTGATGGAGTATTCTCCAGGCGTACCAAGCAGATGCTGAAGCACAGAGCCGCCGATGTAGCCCGTAGCGCCGAGGAAGAAGACGGTCTTAACCATGCTAATGGGATGATTTGGGATCTACTTGAGTGCGTAGCGATGAGGGTTGCAGAAGAACCAGAGTTCGCAGAGAGTAGCGAGGACGCCCGGCATCGTCGCTAACGGGTCTTTTATACGGCTTACAGCAGAAGGATTCCCGATGGCGCACGGAAGTCTCTAGACAAACGCATGAGCCACGTCAAGAATACAACTGACCGCGTGACGTCACGCGTCGCGCGACTCGCACGTCAACGTGTCCGGCGCACGGCCGCTGTGCCGCCATCGAGGGATCTTTCCCGGACCGGTGCGGTATAATTGCCTACGGACATCGTACAAACGACAATGCATAGGTACTCAACTCAAGAATAGACTTGTACCAGTGGCTTCTCGTAGAGATCCGGCCTTACTAATCGCTCTTCTTGTCGCCAGCTTAACACGTCGACAGTCTTACAGAACATCTGACTCTAGAGTGATGCGGAAGAATGACCGTCATGCTCTCTCATATGATCAATTGTTAGAATCATGATCAATCCGCGAGTGATGCACATTGCTCATAATTTGACTACAGGATATCATACAGCAAGTTCTTCAGCGATCCGACACTCAACTCGAGTTGATCAGCGAAGCTCATGCAGCACTGACCCATGCGGATTGACAAGACTGGCCGCGACCTCCTCCTCGATAGACTTGAAGATGTCAGCGTCGTCTTTGACGGGTGCCCAGGGTCCCACATCAACAACGCGGTGTTATCTGGAGTTTCGGAGCTTCGACGGCCCTCCGTCGTACCAGAGGCTGGAGGGCTTGATTCAAGGTTTGTAGACAATGTTAAGCCTTGGATTACATCATGCTTTAGATTATACAACAGATTCTGCGCGTTTCTACTCGAAAGCGGACTCATGAATCGTATCCCCGCCGCGACGGTGTCTTTGGTCGACCCTGTTGCACGTCGTACCAGTACTCTAAGAGACAATCAGCACGGGATACGACGTCAAAGGCAGATGATCTTACGCTCCGCCTCGTCGAGAGCCTTGGCACTGCCCTTGAGCTTGTTGATGGTCTCAACATATTCGTCCTCTTCGACACTATCGAAGACAATCCCGCCACCTGCCTGCAGATAGGCTGTCCCGTCCTGAATCGTAATGAGCACATCAAGTATATCCACCCAGATCACCGTTCGCGCGCACCTTAAATAACATTGTCCGGATAGCGATGCATGTATCCATCGCGTCCGACGCGAAGTCAAAACGGCCGACAGCACCCGCGTAAACCCCGCGACGCTCACCCTCGCGTTCGTACACAAGTTCGACCGCTTTAATCTTCGGAGCGCCGCTCACCGTACCGGCGGGGAAGATCGAGCGGAAGGCGTCGAATCGTGTCAGACCAGGCCTAAGCATACCCGACACTTGACTAGTCAAGTGGATAACATGGCTGAACTTCTCGATGCGCATGAGATGATCGACCTTCACCGTATGTGGGTCGCACACGCGGTTCACGTCGTTTCGCGCGAGGTCGACAAGCATGATATGCTCTGCGCGATCCTTCTCGCTGTTCTGTAGCTCCTGCCCCAGCTTCTCGTCTTCTGCTGCAGTCGCACCGCGCCTCGTAGTACCAGCAATCGCATGATTGAACACCTTGTTCTCCTCGACCTTGCACAACGTTTCGGGACTCGCGCCGACGATTTGCAGATCTCCGCAGTCGAGATAGAACATGTATGGGCTGGGGTTGACCATACGTAGTCGTCTGTATGCGTTGAACGGATGCAAGGCGGTTTTGCGTGCGATACGTTGACTGGGTACTGCCTGGATGATGTCGCCCGCGAAGATGTTCTTCTTCAAGCTAGTGACATGTGCCTCGTAACCCTCCTTCCCAACGTTTGACTTGCTCTCGTTGCCAAGCGTGACTGGGGGCTGCGGAACCTCAGGCGTCGTAGTACTGAGTACGGCGCGGGCAAGGCGGCGGGCTTTGGCTACAGCCGTCTGGTATACGAAAGAGAGGTTGTTCGGGCCCGTCGTATCCGGGCACCAGACGTGGCTGACGACCTTGACCGTTTGGTAGAGATGATCGTAGACGAGCAACGTGTCTGTGAGCATGAAGACGGCTTCGGGAATGTGCAAGTTATCGACCAGTTCGCGTTTGGTCTTCGGCTCAAAGTGCATGATCGCATCGTAGCCAACATAGCCGATAGCTCCGCCAGTAAATGTTGGCACCTCGGGTATACGGATGTACTGATATGAAGCCAGCTCCTTTTGAAGTGCAGACATTGGGTCGCCCGTGATCGACTCGGATGGACCGACACGCAGGACCTTGAAGGGATCTACGGCCATAGTATTAGCGCTCGCGTCAGGAATTCGCGTACACCACGAGGGTAGCGTGGATCGGATACTTGCTTACCGGCGCCTATGAAACTATACCGTGCCACATTCTCGCCCGCGATCACACTCTCCAAGAGGAAGCTGTACTTCGAGGATTGGGCGATACGTAGGTAGGCGATGACAGGAGTGATGAGATCCGCGGGAAGTTGGACGAATACAGGCACGCAGTTTCCGCGCTTCTCGTGCACGATGAGGCGCTCGACAGCTTCATACGAAGGAAACGCGGGTAATTTCTGTCTAGACATAACTCAGATGTCAGTGGTCGTCACACATAGACAGAGATGAAAGCGTACGGACGCGTCTATTGTGCTCATGATGACTAGAGCAAAGGGAGCGAGAAGGAGGAATGGGCAAAGATGGGTGTTGCTTGAGAACTTGAAGTAAAGCTTCGGGCGAGTAATTCCGAGTCAAAGCGGCTTTGGCTCACGCGTCCACCATCTATTTTTCCTGTGGCACTTTATAGGGCTCCTGAATCCCGTACACTGCGGAACATCTCTCCACGTATACTCTTACTGCTGTCACCGGGCTGTAGACAAATACCTGTACGGCCTCAAGTATGATCACGCCGCGCTTTTCCTGCTCGCAAACATCCGACTCGGTGATCACTCGGATCTATTGTCCCTCTGTTCGCGTACGTGTGGCTCAACAACACGTTCTATACAAAGCAAAGCTCATAACAACAGGCCTGATATAGGCATCGGAGGTCGAGATCCACGTAGCGGATACGCTTCTGAGCGTTCACATCGCGCCGTACTTCCTGCGTCTCACATTTCCTGGTTCCGTGCTCGAGGACGACGCGTCAAGTGCTGTGTATGACCCGGCGAGCGGGTATCTTACCGTCACGCTCACGAAGGAGCAGAAGGGCCAAGACTTCCCTGACCTTGATCTCCTCGCAAAGCTTCTCGCGCCACGCCCCAGCACGCAAGCGCAGCCACAGGGCCCTCTGATCGAGGTTCTCGCTAGCGAGGACACCGAGCATGCCGAGCTTGAGGCGCAGACGCTCTCTCTGAGTCTCGACGATGCCAGTCTGACGCAGGAACAACGCGAAATACTCGCCGCAGCGGAGAATGACTGGCAACTACCTCAAACAGTGCCAGAACCACTACCTGACCTGCACACCTCCCTCGCAAAACCATACGGTTTCCTCAATCTACACACGGGCTTCTTGCGGCATGTTGCGAATACGGAAAACGAAGCGAATGAGTTGGGGTCAGACGCTGAAACGCTGCCACCTTCCGAACGCCGGCGACTACGACTGGAGAAGGAGGAGAAGAAGTGGGATGAGGAGTACTACATGGCGGATTATGCCGACACGACCATAATCGACGAGATCATTTCCATGCCTTCGCCGTTCATCCCATCTTCGAATACGCAGGATCTCCAATTTACGGAAGAGGAGAAGCTCGAGATGCTGCGTTTGCCGAGACGCGAATACCTGGCTTCATCGGCAGAATTGCGCGCCTCAAGATTAACACTACTCACCGTGCTCTTTGCTGCTGCATACGATACAAGAACGACCCAAGGCGATCCTACTCCGGAAAGCGCATGGACAGTCTGCGCCCTAACGCCTGCATTCGCCGCGTTGGACCCCGCCCCCTACGTCTTTCCCCCATCATTCCCGCCACCGCCACGTTCCTCGTCGGATGACCTGGAGCTGCAAGCTACATTCGTTGCGTCGTACCGGCGCGCCCTTGCATACCCGCTCTACCGTTCCTGGGCGCTTGCCGAGGCTTGTCGCCGTGACGTCGGCGCACTATTGTCGCACGGGCGGCGAGCCGTACTTCGCGCGCTTCTGCGTATCAGGGAGCTTCTAAATAAGCACGAGGCTTACTATATCTACGCGCGCATATGGCTGGATGACCTTTGCTCGTGGATACAGCAAGATGAGTAAGTTGTCTATATTTGCTGTCGGGCGCTACAAGACCTCTGATGTGGATGGCAGTGAGGATGCACTGCGCGCGCTGGGCGCGGCCGTCAAGCGCGTGTCTATGTCGAAGGAGATGATTGGCTGGGAGCTTACAGCTCTTGAGGCGGCCGTTGACGAAGATGCCGCGGATGGAAGGACACCGGACAGTGACGATGAGAGCGACGAGGACGCAGTTGCAGCCGTACTGTCATAATATCACGAACACTCAGTGTCTCAGCTTATGCACATGTACACAATCCTCCAATCCGGATGACTTGCTCCATGATGTGCACGTGCCTCTGATGGTAAAGCTACATTGATGGCGGTGCTGTGCTCGGTCTTGTATATGCATGGGGATGGAAATGACTGCATCAATAGCGCAAGATCGTGAAGCGGAGGCGGGGCAAGATGCTGATGATGGGCTGTTCACCGAGCAACCCGTCGTCCTCGCCGATCCCATATAACCCTGCACCACGTACCATTCCTACATCCTCTTCACCCGTCTCACCTATTCAATCTAACACACACCCAACTTCACTCAACATGGCTATTCCGTACTGTGCACCGCCTCCCCAACAACACTGGACGAACAACATCCCGCCACCAGTACCGATCAACGGTGGCTATGGCCAACCTCAGTACCAACAACAACCGCAATACTACCAGCAACCGCCACCCCAGCAGTACTACGGTGCACCTCCGCCTCAACAGTATCAGTCACCACCACCGGGGCACTACGGCGCACCCGCATATGGCACACCTCCGCCACAAAACTATGGGTCCCCATCGCCCGCGCCCTACTGTGCACCGCCCGGCCCGCCGCCAGCGTCTCGCGAAGCGCCCGCGGCACCACCGGCGCAGTCGTACGACCGGAGCACACGTCCGAGTCCGCAACCTCGCTACGCTCCTCCGTCAGGTCCGCCGCCTGCATCTACAAGGCCGACATCCTCTACCACTACCTCGTCCCGAAGCATCTCTACGTCGTCATATTCTTCGTCTTCGTCTTCTTCGTATCCTACCGCGCCTAGCCGCTCTACTCGTCCCGGTCCATCAGCCGCGGAGCTCAGGGCTCAAGAGGAGGCTGATCTCCAGCGCGCACTCGAGGCGAGTGAGAGAGATGCACGGGAGCATGCGGAGAGGCTCGACAAGGCGAACATGCATATGATCTTTGGAGAGTTCGCCGAGAGAGATCGCGGCGGCGAACCTGGGCTATTTAGCGATGTCGGTAGCCGTGGAATCCCTAGTCAGACGACTGGCCTATCCAGTCAGCCTACCGGTCCAGCGCCATTTGCGGGCGGGTTCGCTTTCCCCGAACCTCAGCATACGGGCACTTCGGTGCAGCCTCAGTTCACAGGCTTTGATGCGCAGCAGGTATGTTTACCCCGTCATGATGGTGATTGCCTGATACTGATACGCTCTTTAGAACGAGCTCTATCGTCTCCACCTGCTTTACGCTCAGCAGCAACACGCTGAAGCCGAGCAACGCGCGCGGATGCAAGCCTCCGAGTCTTTCCTCCATCAATCGCTCGCGTCCGCCTCCCAATACGAAGCGCAGAACCTCCGCGCTCAGCTTGAGCAGCAACAGCGCCAACTCGAGGAGCAGCACGCAAAACTTGAGGAGGCGCGTCGCGCACTCGAAGAGCAGAAGGCACAGTGCAGCATGGCTCCCCATGAGGAGGAAATGATGATGAAGCAGGTCGAGGAGATGATGTACGCAAGCAACAACCCTTTCGCACCGTCGGCTTCTCCAGCTCCCCCACCCGCCTCTTCGGGTCCGAGCCCGCCAGCGGCCGCCTCAAGGCCAGGAACGACTGCTCCTCCACCGTACGATGCGCCGCCTGCGACGGAGAGTGATCCATCGAAGGCGCATCTTGCAGGATTGTATGCGAATAGGGGCGATGGCGTTGACAGCTTTGGTAACACTGGCTCTCTGCGCTTTGGCGGGTCCGACTATGGACGGCTTGGGTTCGCTGCAACGCAGGCTGCTCAGACCCGGGCTTAGAGTGTTTTGGGAATATGTATACCGCATTTGACACCTTGGACTGTATCCTACACACATGTATACAAGACGAGCACGTCGCTGGCTGGTCCGGACGTGTTACATATTTGCCCATGCTATGTTTGTTTTAGTGGCAAATACATGAAGTACTTCGGTGCTCGTGGCGACGGGGGCCGGGGCCATCCACGCCATCCGAGAAACCATATATTAGGGTTAGCGGTGGTTCAAGCGACGGTGCCGAGGCCGCGCTATCTCGTCGCGACCTCGTCCCAACCCCCATCACGATACCTGGTCCACCATATCTCCACATCCGCACGCTCCTCACAGATAAGTGCTCGCGCCGCTGTACAGATCTCCTCTCGAGGACTGTCGCTCTCCGGGAGAAAGCTCATTCACATGCCACTCGCTTCGAGCGTCTCAATCGGGGGCGCTATCGTCAGCTCGTGCGTGATATACCGATCCCGCTTGATCCTCGCCGCTGACGGACTGTCATTAGGTGCCATATACACTCTCTAGATGATGACTGCCTGATTGCCATCTTTTACGACGTTATCCGTTGTCCGCCTCGGCGGTACGGCTCACCCACCCTCCCTGAGGTCGATCAATTGATCTGCCTGACGCATGTATGCCAAAGGTGGCGAGCGATCGTGCTGGATCTTGCGGAGCTATGGGCGCAAGTTGTTTTTGCGTACCCGAAGGCCTTCCATACACTCCTCGGACGTGCTCGAGAGTGCCCGCTCAAGGGAGCTGCGAAGACTCAGAGTGGCCAGCTATCCGACGAACAGGTTGCCTATATGCTTTCGCATCCTGAACGTCTCCGTGTGCTGGCGCTTCCTAGTGAAATTCGTCCTTCGATTGCCCTTGCCTTTGCGGGACTATCGCTACCTGTCCTACAGAAACTCGTCATCGATTTCAGTTCCCATTGGGACGACACGTTCGGCGAAGGCGAGCCCTACAACGACTTCCATTATGATGAACGAGCGCTAGATGCGCCACTTCTCAGAACTGTTACATTCGGGAACATCTTCATACCCCTTGTTGCGCCGCGTCTGACGAGTCTCACCCTATTGAAGGACAACGGTAGTCCTGGTGGCGTTGATCCTACCGATATCTGCACACTGCTGAGATCTGCGCCGATGCTGAAAGATATCGTCCTAGAGAGTTGCTTCTCTGGCGGTGATTGGGAGATGGAGGAGGGGGTGGCACCTATCGAACTACCAAACCTTCTCAGGTTGCTCATCAGCGGTCATATCGCAGATATAATTGGCGTATTCGCGGCGATCGGCCACATGAATGAAAGCGTGTGCGTCTATCTGACCATATCGGACATAGACGAAGATGAAGAAGAGAGTATCGCAGAACTCTCTCACGCGCTAGGTCCTTGCCTACGGCCTGGGCTGCACGATACGCTATCTGTCTCCGGCTTCGACACGGGAGCGACTCAAGGAGAACCGTTTCTCAAATTGACCTCTTCTGAAAGGGATGTCGGTCCCTTATTTTCACCATATACTCTCGCCATCGAGGTCAAGGAGAGTCTGATCGATGTCATGATGCGCTTGTATCTGGGAATATTCAAGCAGCTTCCTGAGGGCCAGATCCGGCATCTTAGCGTCTGTCACCAAGATCGTTACAATGCATTCACCTGGGTGGAAACTCTCCCTGTGTTTCATCTACCCGCATTGTCACAATCTGTTGAGACGCTGTTTTATGAGATAGAGATGGAGAGATTGGGGCCGATGACGGACGTAGCCGACTTCGGATCGGGTCTACTGCCCAAGTTCCTCTTAGTTGACCCCTTCGTCTACCCCAAGCTTACCTCGATCACCATAAACGGCGACTTGGGGGGAGATCATTACGCGACGGCCACTACTCCCGAAGACATCAACGAACTGATCACGTGGCTCAAGGCGCGCGCTGCTTGTGACAGACCGCGGATAGTGTTCCGGCTAACGGGAGATTCGTACAAGATACCATTCAGCGGGGAGTCTGGTGTCGTGATGCGGCCGCGAGATTGGAAAATCCTGGAGAAGCTGGATGAGTGGGTTGAAATTGTTGACGAGCGGACCCTGGTTGCGCCGAAGGAGTGAATCGTACTATATCATTTTGTAGACATTGTGAAATCCATGCTATCCTCGATTTATATGATGCCGAAAGAGTATTTTGGTAACAATGCCGGGTGCTCAAGACAAATCCAACCCTGTCATCAGCAGAACCATATTCTAGGGTTAGCGGTGGTTCAAGCGACGCGTCGCGCCACCCGACTTGATCTCAAACCACACCCAACATCCAGCTCTGTGTGTCTATAACACTCTTCCTTCATAGTCACGAGCTTCCTACTGTGGCTACCTGCGCTTGTGTGCACATCTACCCTCCTGATTGCCCTCGCTCCACGAAAGCAAGCCCATCAGCATGCCACTCGCTTCGAGCGTGGCGAACGAACGCGCCGGTACCATCGGATCGTGAGTCATACATCGACTAGTCATACTTCTCGACTTACCTACCAACCTTGAAGTAGAAGTCACGTACACTCTCTGAACGATGATTGTCTCATCGCCATCTTTTACTACGTGGCTCGAGATCCCCTCGAGCCGTTCTACCCGAGGGAGATTGAGACGACCAAGGCAGATCAACTGATCTGCTTGACACACGTATGCCAGAGATGGCGCGGAGTTGTACTAGATATCCCTCAGCTGTGGGCTGACGTGGCTTTTGTATATCCGAAGGGCTTCCCCACTCTCCTCGGACGCGCTCGAGAATCCCCACTCCGCTTCGCGAACGACGCCTTTGGAGCGAGGAAGCCCATAATATCCAACGAACAGGCGCATTATATGATATCTCATCCTGAACGTCTGCGGATACTGGAGATCCACTACCAGTGGCCCTCGCTTGCGCTGGCTTTTGCTGGCAAGACCATGCCGATTCTCGAGAGTCTCACCTTCGATTATGGCGGCGCCTCCGACACCGATGGGGAGGGAAATCGGTTCTACTTCAATGAGCGACCAATACGTGCCCCATTGCTCAAGCACGCAGTATTTGGGACCATCTACATCCCGCTGATTGCGCCGCAGTTGACCAGCCTCCATCTCGGAATCGCCGATGGCCTTACCGGCACTTTCGATCTGGATAGCGAGCGTTTCTACGCCCTGCTGAAGAGCTCGCCGCTGTTGGAGTCTCTCAGCTTACACGAATGTTTCCCAGAAGAAGCCTGGGCGAACGAGGAGAGTGAGCGCGTAGAACTACCGCGTCTGGTCAAAGTGGATATGACCGGTTATATCGCGGCCATTGCCAGCATGGTCGACATGATCCACCTCGTCAACGCGTGCTCCAATATCTCCCTGACTGTATACGAGGTAGACGAAGACGGTGCGGCGGACTTTGCCTGCGCTTTAGCCCCGTTCATACAGACTGCGCTGCACGATACACTGTCCGTCACCGGTTATCTGGCAGACCGGTCTAATGGGCACCCAGGTCTTCGCCTTTTCTCGTCCGAGAGGACTACTAAAGATTCATCCATCCACGACTCGTACACTCTTTCCGTAGATGTCGGGTCTGACGAAGAAGACGTCGACATCATGAGCTTCTACCAAAGTATATTCGAGCAGCTTTCCGAGGGCCAGATACGGCATCTGCTCGTGGTTCACGAAGAGCAGGAGAACGCGTTCACTTGGGTCGACACCATCCAACCCTTTCATCTCCCCGCGCTGTCTCAATCTGTCGACAGGATATCATTCCAGTTGGAGAATAGGGGGCATGTCGACCCGGACTTTGGCGAAGGCCTTGCACCCAAGTTTCTGCTGGAAGACTATAAAGCGTATCCAAGCCTCACGTCCCTGACCCTACATGGCGACGGGAGGCATTATGCAGCAGCGACCAACCCTGATAAATTCGGGGAGTTCATCCAATGGCTTCAGAAGCGCCGCGACAGAGACATACCGCTCGAGACGATCCGTCTCACCGGGGACGTGTACAATAAGCGGTACCAAGTTGACCAGTCCGGTACCGTCTGGATGGGGCCGCAGGACTGGACGGTCTGGCAGGAAGTAAGGAGCAACGGCGTCCGAGTTATCGACGAGCGCAAGTTGATTCCCATGTCGATGGCGCCGCATCTGTTGCGCGCCGATTGAATATATCATATACATAGAAACATACCTTTGTCATCTCCCAGTCGCCATGCTATCCCTCATGGGCCACTACTTATTTAGACCATTTCCCACGACGGATCAATCTTGCCCCCAAACGAGCTTATCCACATAAATACGACATGCGAGCAACACACTTATGTACAAGTAACAAAGATGCGACAACTGAACAAAGAGACAAGATGTGGATTATGCGGTATACGAGAATAGCGTGCGTGAAAGTTCGTGAATGCCAAGAATGAAGCCGATGAAACCAGGGGGCAGACTCCTGTCAAACTTAAGCGCCAGCGGCGAGATTGCCGACGCTACTCCTCTTTCCCGCGCCCGCGCCAGCACCCGCCTCAGGCTCGACCTCGTACCCCCTCCCGATATCCGCCGGCAACCGTGCCGTATGGTCCATGCTCTCCTCCACGCTCTCTCTGGGCGCGATTGCGGCCTCCGCGTCCGCCGTTGCGAGATTCTCAGCAGGCAAATCCTCAGAAGCCGCAGAGGGACGAAGGAACGAAGGGGGCGTGACCAGTCCATTGAACATGAACGTCCCGTACACGAGCAGCGCAAATCCGAGGACTTGCAGTACGCTCGTAGGCCACAACAGCGCCTCCCATCCGATCGCCAGACTGACAACCCAGATCGCGAGCGTACGGCACGTATCCGTGAGACTGCGTACGGTCGCGCTGACATGCTTGGTGACGCTCAGCCCGAAGAAGTTGAAGAATGCGATGGAGCATGCGACGAGGAGACCGCTCCAGAGGACTGGGGGGTTGTTGATGAGTTGTGCCCAGCCGCGCGGAAGGTCGAGCCAAGCCGATGCTGGTGAGGTCGGGGAGACATGGATCAAAGGCAGGAGAGGGAGGAGGATAACAATCGAGAGTGCGCCGAAGAAGCCTTCGAAGCCGACTGCTACGAGGGGCTCGACGGTGTAGTGTCCCAGGATCTTCTCTTCCAGTATGAACTGAGTTGCAGTGAAGATCTGTGCGAAAAGGATGAAGAATACGCCTATTCAATTCGATGCGTCAGATCTTTGCGTCATCGTGTAATTGAATGAGGGAAACTGACCGATGAGCACTTTCGTCGCCTCCGGCTTGCCCGTGGGCTCCTCGCCCGCCTTGTCAAGCGCCATAGACACGTTCATCGAGCTGATGTCGACCAGTCCAGGCCCAAAGAGTGATGCTCCACCGGAGAAGTCCATGCCCATTCCATTCGCGGTATCGGCGTCCAATCCTAGAGCGCGTGCCACAACTGCAGCCGTCTCATGAAGGGTCTCTTTGACGAGCGATCCGCTGTATCCTACGAGCGTTACGCCGGCCATAACTGTGACGAGGGAGATCCACCTGTTCCGCTGCTTTAGCCTTCCATTCACCCGGGTTTTCGCAAGAGGGAATGGGGGGAGAAACACGTACTGGTAGAGCCATAATCGGCGTCTGAGGAAGATCACGGATCCGGTGCCGACGAAGAGGACGAGTGCACCGCGCGTCATCTGGTAGATCGATACGGGCGTGTATAGCAAGCCGATGTTCATGAGCTGTGAAATGTATGGTTCAGTCAGTGTCGGGCTCGACGGGCATGGCGGGTAGAAGGAGAAGCCTCAGAGGAGACGAAAGGGGGGGTCGAGGCAAATGGATTGCGAAAGGAGTACGAGAAGCGATGCCGAACCATTGAACGTGCTCGGCAAAGATGAGGCTAGCAGGCGGGTGCGACGGCCAGTATCGGGAGAAGGAGCAGCTGAGGCTCCGAGGATGGAAGTTCCCGAATGGAGAACAATGGACAGTAGGCTTGCTCCATACGTGCGAACACGATGTTCCCGAAGGACCGCGTTTGAGCAGCGCACGAGAGTTCGCGACTCAGGCGCGCAAAAACTCTCGAAGACAAGGTTTGGCACGAGAGGCGATAGAAGCCCAGGACCATGTGCGCCTGTGTACGGCGCCCGGGCGCGCGGCGAGCACGAAGAAAAGAAGCTGCGCCACAGGCGCGTCTCGGACTGATAATTCCAGTCATCTCCGTCGGATGCGAGTTGAGAAAAGCTGTACGCCCACGATCCAGATCCGCCGCCCGTGCGGTATGTAGAGCCCTCTGTGTGCGGGCGCCGTATACAGCACGTAACGTCTGCAGGCGCGCGTAGGACGGATGGGGCAGATTCGGAGAAACAACGAAGACTGCGCGGGCGAGGAGCATGCGTGCGGCCATTCAGAGGCGGCCGCGAGTAGAGTGTGCGCAGCGAGAAAAGGAAGTCTAACGATCTCAAAGAGAGTGAAAGCGGCAAGATTGTGGAAAGAGAAGGTAAGAGGGCGCAGCCGAAGGTCGAAGCGGGCCCAAACGGGGAACAAGGACGCGAGAGCGGGAGGGACGGAGACACGGACCGTTGTTCCGGTGAGGTCGCATACTGCTGGAAGCCAAAGCAGCAGCACGCGCCAGCCTGCGAGCGGTACGTCCGCCGGACGTTTCGCTGGTTGGTCGAGTAGTGGCTCGTCTGCCTCCTCGTCTGGCAGGGCAACATGTTGCTTGCTCGATTGAAAGCGGGCGTGGAGGATGCTGGCGAGGACGGGGAGGAAGCCTGCGGGTGCAATTAGGGGCGCTTGGTGACGGGGTGGATGTTCAGCGACTTACAGAGCATCTCTCCGGCGAACATCTATGTAGCGGTTCGTATTGGTGAGCGGAGTTCGGAGAATGATATGGTAATGAACTTGCCTGCAAGGTTTGCCAGAAGGGCTGTTCGTAGAGAACGTGCTTGGACGAGTCGGGGTCTTCGCAGTTCTCGACGCACTGCATGTCCTGATACTTGCTCCAAATGCTATTGCAAGCACCCTACGTATTACTGGTTTGCATGATAGCCTTCTAGAACGGAAAGCAATAAAGAGTTTACCGTGATAATCATGCCGGCGACCAGGCCAGCGACGCGAAACCTATTTAGTCCCGGCATGGCAATAGATGGTGGCGGTCTCTTTCCAACCCACTTCCATCTCATGGTCCATATCACCCTCACCGGGGCCGGCGGCAACGGTGCCCGCTTCGGCTACGACGGCTTCCTGGGCCTCACGCCCGTCGTCGTCCGGGGTACTGTCGCCACTCACATAGACAGTGACGGCAAGCCGCTGCCTGCCCGAGCCCTGACCGCGCATGTGCGCTGCTACGAAGTCCGCCACTCGCGCTTCGGGCAGTCCTACACGCACATCATGGCCGACCACGTCCAGACGCTCTGGTCGTCGCCCCACGAGGGCGCCACGCCACTGGGCGAATTCGAGGCGCCCTTTCGGATCGTCGTCCCGGTCGACAGCGCCGGCGCGAGCACGGCCGCGTTTCCGGACTACCGCGTCTTCTGGCGCGTCGAAGCCGCGATCTCGCACCCGTCCATCGCCGGCGTTGGCAATCGTACTTCCAAACAGGTCGACATCCCCATCACCCGATATGCAGCACCGACGCCGCCGCCATTCGCCCCGGGCCCGTCCCATCATTTCCTGTCATCGAATAAACCCCGCGCGCCATTACTCCACTACCGCGTTCGCGTGCCGCCAGAGGCTGTGGGCCCTCAGGATATTCTCTCCGTCACACTTGACGTACGGCCCGCCGACCCGGCCGTCATCGTCCGTTCCGCCAGTCTCACCGTCGAACGCCGCATTGAGCTGCGTGACCCGCCATCAACGTCTAGCAATGCATCAATCGACAGCTTTGCCTCTTCGTCTACTGGTTCTACATCTGCGCGACCTTTGCTCCCACCCACTCCCGCGTCCCCTGCTCTCTTCAGTTCTGGTTCCACTCCACCCTCGGCATACGCTGATGCCATCAAAACTTCCACTACCATCGTCGCCGGCGCAGAGTCCGGCGCAGGCCGTTTCGCTCGCGACGAGAACGGGTTATATACTCGGACGCTAGCATTACAATGGCCGGCTTCACGAAGTACTGCGCGCTGGGCACTGGGCGAAAGCCTTGACACAACACTCGCTCGCATAACTTTCTCAGTGAAAGCTCGCGTGGTCGTTTCGGGACCTAATGGGACGGACAGTGTGGAGCTACGGGAGGAGCCATTGACCGTCGTCGCGACGAATGCGGCTCAAAGACGACTTGCTTTGGCCAGGTGGCAAGAAGTGCAGGCGCGGGATGAGGCTCTGGGAATCAGCACACCCGCTCCACCGTATGCGAAGAGGGAAGCGGAGAGAGTGAGTGTGAGGGATCCGCCTGGGCTGGAACGGCCTAGTACCGGCGCACGGAGAAAAGACAGGGATGAACGGCCGAGCAGACGCGCGTCCGCAAGACCGCATACATCGTCTGGCGCGGCAGGGGGAGGAGGGGGGCGCCCGAAAACACGCGACGGACGTGCCCAAACATTCGGCGAGGGCGCATTGCGGCCCTTGACAGCTCGCCCAGCCGTATCTGCGCCGATACCGACACCTGCAACAGCCACTGGCAGTGTCATCACGCCGCCCAGCAGCGCACCACCGCAGATACAGGGCATTCCAACACCGACGGCCGTAGTGAGGTTAAACACCATCACCGGCGAAACGACTGTACGTCGATCATTCTGGCGTCTATTGCCTTTACGCAGGAGTCGGCGCTGACACTCTCGGCAGGTTGGCGCCGTACTTCCTCCCCAGATGGAGCTCGTCAGAGCCTGGGAAGAGGAACTTGCTCGCATCGAACGCCGTGCGAGGCGACGAAGCGATGCCCAAAACACACGGCGAGGTAGCGATGCCCAGCGGCGCGTCGTGCGCGTTGGATAGGCGCGGGGGTGGGGGCGTGCAGGGCTTGGCTTTGCCTCCTGCATGCTTCCCTGTCTTCCTTCTTCCTCGGATCGCATCTCTCATCCCGCCGTACGCCTCATCTGTTACCCCCACTAGCATTCCGACTCCGTAATTCACACATACACGGAACCCACTGCCATATCTCCATGCATCATCCAATCCATAGCAACGCATTCGACGTTAAACATACGCAAGTCCATCACCGCTGTCTTTCTGTCTCTGTCCTCCGGTCACCCTGTTTGTGCCCTTCGTCCAAGTCACGATGTTGTACTGCTCGTAGTCCTAGTCTTATTCGCGCTCAGTTCTTCGTCCTAGTATCCGCCGCTCGTCGCTCGTCGCTCGCTACGCAACCCATAATCCGTATCTCTATTCCATAACCCTATTCGCGCTCATCAACGGTCGACAGTCCACGCCTCCGCCCGACTGAATCGACTTTTTTTCTCTTCAAAGAGATCTTTCTAGCCTGGATCTGAATCGCGCTTCGCGAAGGCCGTACGCGGCGATCTGACAGGACCCCACTACAACAATCATGCACGCTCACCATCGATCTGATCATGCCGTCTCCAGTTGACACTTCGCGAAGGGCGGCGTCCCGAGCTGACGCGCCACAGCACCTTCGCGATCACTACTATCCGATGGTATCCGGGCCACGCAAGAACTTCGCTGTATTTATCTGCTCGCTTGCGGCGCGGCGGATCCCGGGCATGCCTCATGCAGGCTACCTGGCCATACGGATCCGACATTCCATACAAAATGTTCGGGGAAGTGGGTGGGACTTCGGTTGTCGCGGGCCACGGGCAGCTGTGTGTATGCGCGCTTCTCGGGTGTGGGCATGATGGCCACTTCGCCGTGCAGGGTTCAATGGTGGTGCATACAGAGGTGGTCAAGTCTACGCCGACGCGAGATCGATGCGCATGCACGCAGGTTGCGCTGGGCCGAGATGGGCAAGCCTGCTCTCGAATTAGGTGCGCGGGTTGCAGGGCTTGATCGACGCGCGTACAGCTCTCCGCCGCCGCTACAGGCTCTCAACAACCCTTCTCAGGCTCGCGTACGTCCCGGCTGTGATTGCGCTCGTACTTAGACCCCATGTACCCAGACGCACTGGAAATGGCATGGTCGTACTCGACATGGATACGCACGAGTTGCAGGGTTCAATCAACGCGCATACCCGGCCATCGTCAGTGCTTCTAGTCTGTAGGCTGCAGATGAAGATGAGGCTCTTTTGCCGCCCATTGTGGGCGTGTAAGTTGGGCGTAACCACGTAAGGTTACGCTAAAGTAACTTTTGGGTGCGCATACATGCAGCTGTATCGGGCCCAGACCGGAGTCGAATCTCAGGATGGGGGTTCTCTATGCCCGCGAGGCATCGAGTGACCGCACCGTACACCGCCTCGAGAGAGCGAGCGCGTCAGATGAAGACTAGTCTGAGCGGTTCATTTGCTGAACGTGGCTCTTGGCGTAGCTGAGTACTACAAACCAGGTGGTAATGTACGTCTTAGTACAACAGCTGTGCCGGTCGCGCATCATGAACTCAGGTGTGTTCCCTCCATTGACCCTAATACAGTACACGCACATGTCATCACAAGCTCTAGCGCTGATGTTCTTGGACCCCCGGGATCGCCGTCGCCACGATCGTATATGTGCGCGGTTGTATGAACGAACCCTCATTCGCCCAAGATAGACTAGTGTACACGATGTGGATTCACACTACTGTAATCCATTCATTACAGTAAGCTTGACTACCGTCTGTTCTTTGACCATCATGCTTGAAGTATCAGCGCTCAACGCTCGGAGATGCTACCGTACGTACACGCCGCCGTTCGCTCGCCGACTGACTAGTGCTCAAACGTACACCCTCCCGCGATCATTCGCGAGCCCAACTATCCCATAGCAGTCAGACTCTCGAGCCACAGCCGCGTGGTCCGAGTCTATTCCGCTACATATCCGCACTGAGCACGCATCTTGAGCCTGAGAGACTGCCGTCTCAACTGTTTTGAGAGAGCAGAGGCGCTGGATCGGGATCGCAACTCCGTTGTCAACGGGTCAAGACGGTGTGACGATGGAGACCGAAATGGGTTCGGGTTGCATTCGAGTGGCGCAGGGGCCGAAGCGGCCCGGTCGGTTTCCCAGCTACGGTCATGCAGGAGCCGTTGTTTCCGTATGACTACTTGGCGTGGGCTGTACGTGTATTGGCAGAATAGAAGTAACGAAGTCGCCTCGTCAAGCAGACTGAATGCATTTGTGGCTGACATCGCCGCCGGAGAAGTTCTATATCGACGCGGGCATCCGACCCATCCCCGAACTCAAGATCAACGCAGGACTCGCGAGGATCTGAGGAAACTTCTTGACCTCAGCGGCCCAATATAGTGCCGTTCAATACGATAACACTCACCAGCGCTGAAACGACCACATGCATGCGTTACCGTATACGCAGAGGCGGTGTTTTGAAGAGTCATGAGTGCCAGCGACGCGCGCTCATCCTATACAACGGCATAGCAGATTATGCAGAGCCGGTGTACGGACCGAATGCTATACAATGCGGTATCGCAGTATCTCTGTGTGTTAGCGCTCGTATGGGTAACAATACCGGTGGCTAACTTACTGCATACTCCCGTACGGCCCAGCTTGTCCGCTTTCACGGTCATCGAGCCTCTCGCAGCCTGAACGTTCTTCAGTCGGTGCTATCACGTCGCAAGGACGAGCTTGGGAGAGAAATGGGTGATAAGAATTTCTTGGCTATCGGGCCCGGATGGATGATTGAACCCTTTCTCCGTCGAACACGACAGCACCGTGGCTTTCTATGTCAAAGCAATTCTCTTCTCGGTCACGGTTGTATCGATTATATTCTTCGATTAAATATCGTCAAGACGCAGTACGTCTTTCCTAGTTGTTGCATAATACCTAACTTCATCGAAACTTCGGCACTCAATGATTCATGCAGTGAGCACGATGCGTCCCAATGTGAAGAAGCCAAGAGCATCCCGGCTCCTGGTGTTGGGGTGGAGAACTGATCTAGCGAGAACATCTCAGTCAGCCGCACACATCTGACTGATAATTGAAGAATCCCTCACAGTCAGCTCGCATCTTTCCCCGCGTGGTCAGCGATAGATCATAAGCGGAGACCCCGGCCGACAACTCGTCTGTCGGAAAATCCAGAGTTGATACCAGCCAAGCGTGCAACCATGCGCGTACAGTCGCGAATGACTGGACTAGAAGCTGATCATACACGATGGGCGCCCGATAGAAGACTCACAGACTCTCTACGCCGAGTTGTGCGAGAGCGTATACCTTCCCTGGACTCCGAGCAATGGGATAGTCTGTCCACATTCATCCTTACACAAGGATAAGCTTTCAAGCCGTCGGAACGCTGGGATCATCTCCCGGATAACTTCACACGACTGAAAGGTAACCGCTCGAGCTGAAGACGTCAGTGGAAGCGCTCATCAGCCAAGATGACACGTTTTGGACCGGAACAGGCGGCCACAAAGAAGGACGCCGCTGCCGGGGTAACAATGGCCGGTGTCGAAGAAGCGCCAGAAGTGAAACAAGGTTTGTTCAGAATGAAAAACCCGTGGAGGATGGCACGAGGCGGAGCCGTAGGCGCGGTAATCGGTGAACAGACCGGGGAGATGGCTGAGGAGGGTGATATTCCCAAAGCACCTGTGGCGGCTGTAGAATGATGTTTTGACGACATCCCAGGGACTTGCGAGCTCTAGGATCATGCTGTTAAGGATGACTGGAGTGGGAAGGCAGACAGTGTTCTGCGTCGAGATGACTGTTCGGGACAAAGTTCTGTTCGTTGTCTGTTTTCCGCGAATCGAACGCCAACCCTAGATCTTGGTTTCGTTGATCTTTCGGTACAACAAGCTAAGCCTGCGAACAGGTTGCCAGTGAGGACATGACCGTACGAATCTACAGCTCTGAACCGTGCTCTGCGGTATCTCGGCCATCCTGTAGACTAGGAAGTTCGGTAACAAAGTTCGTCGGATAGGATCGTCCGACTTCCGATCAATTGATCAGCGGGAACGGCCGCGGCTCATAGAGGCGCGTCACCACACAAGCACCACGTGGATGGAGGGATTTGTTCGGCCACAAAGGCTGATAAATCTCTTACCTGATTCTTAGTCAAATAGACGTTTGTTAGTAGGAAAGGTCGAACAAAAATGTTGACGATTTGGCCCTAACTTCAGGATTTTCGACATGATTTCGTCAGCATTCTTGCGTGATAGGATGCTGTGGCAAATAAAGAATCAGCTAAACAAATTTTCAGGATTTCCAATGCAACAAACCCCGTCATCGGCGTGGTGAAGACTGTTGCGTTCGTCCATGACCTTGATTATACATGCTCAACCCCAATATACACGCGAGCCTCGCGAGCTCCTGATGTACTGTCTCTGCCCTTGAGCTCTCTCAAATTAGTATACATTGGTAAGCCTCTGGCATACCCACAGCTCTCTTCCGAGTCAGAACCGCATGTCCTCTCGGAACTTTAATCGACTTAAATGCACGATCCGTACGGAAAGCCGCTACTGCTTGACCGGGTCTGCCCGGACTACTTTCTACCTGAACCCTCATGACAACCATACTTACAACGGACTGGCCTACACATGCGGCGTGCGAGGGATTATCTGGCGTTTACCGCCATCCATTCCATGAGCCGAGCGATGACTTCGACGTGCGCATAGAAGACCGCGCTACTCCGGTACGATCGCGATCACTTGTGCACAAGTCTATGTCGCTGACCCTGATGTAGGCCAACGAGCGCAACATGTGCGCGCTCTCTGCAGTCCTGCGCTCGAAGCCGGAGTGGTGGACCAAGTTTACGGACTCAACCATTCGCTCGCGATGGAAGTCCGAAGCGATCGGCGCGCCAGTTCCCTACGGAGAAATATCGCTGAAGAAAGACGAAGTGGAATACGTGCTCGACGAGCTCGCACATTACGCTGCATTGCGAGATCCTACAACGGGCATAGAGGTGAGTTGTGGTTGACTGCAGTACCACCGTAGCTGACCACGACTGCCTATCAGGTGTCCATCGCTGCTCGTATCTGGCAGTCTGACACCCTCGTGGATGAAAGTCTGCGCGACGAGCTCCTGTCATGCGTTGCAAAGCTCGAGGACGTGCCTGAAGATGAAAAGGACTGGCATTCTCGGGCGAATGGTCAAGTTCTGGACCTCGTTCATCCATCCCTCTACCCGGTCGTGTACGGTCGCACGGTGGTCTCCGAGTCTCCATCGCTACGCGAAGAGAGAGACATCCCTCTTCCGCAGTACACCACAGACCCGAGTGCTGTAGACCTGGACTACGGCGGCGATTTCCGCTTATCGAGCGACTTCCACAGTTCTACTTCGGTCAACACTGCCTTCCTGTCGAAACGTTTTCAGTGGCTACCTACCGACTTCGAAGTATCTGCTGGTGGCAACTCTGCTCGCGCTCTCGGTTACATCAATAACCTCGAACCTCGAACCCATCTCAACGCCTACCCGGTTCTCGAGCGTCTTGTAGCGCATTTCGTCCCGCTATGGGAGCGTGTGCTTGGCGAGACAGCTGCAGGTTATCTGCCGCCTTCGCGCACCAAGGGCGGGTACCAGAAGGACTATCTCAGGGAGTTTACGGAAGAGGAGGGGGAGAATGGCGAAGAGCCACATTGTGCGATAATACTACCCAAGCTAGAGGGCCCATTCACAGCTCATCCCGCCCCTCCTACTGTCAATCTCCGTGGAAAGACGCTGCAAGTCATTGTCAAGCTGGCAAACATCCATCTAGTGCGTATGCTGCCTATTGGACCTTTACTCGCCCGTTGACCATTGCATATAGACGCCTGACGCTTCCGAATACCCTGGTGGCTCCTGGCATGTAGAGGGCATGATCAACGAAGCCATCGTGAGCACAGGCATCTACTACTACGACGAGGACAATGTCACGGAAAGCCGTCTGGCGTTTCGCACCGCTGTGAATGATCCAGGCGTTCATTATGAACAGGACGACAGCGTCGGTGAGTGGTACAACTGTGTGATAGTCCGAGTGCTCACAACGCGGATTCTCCAACAGGCTCTATGACGACGTATGAACTCGATCGAGACGAGCCACTTGTACAGACCTTGGGTGCAGTTGCGACGAAAGCAGGCCGCTGCATCGCTTTCCCCAATATCTACCAGCACCAGGTCCAACCCTTCGCTCTTGCCGATCCGTCTCGACCGGGATACCGGAAGATCCTTGCACTCTTCCTTGTCGACCCCAGTCTCGAATATCCACGACCATCAACAACCTTCGTTCCCCCACAACAGCGCGGGTGGATGCGTACCACCGTGCATACGGCCGCTGCATCCACTGAGTCCCGCTTGTCAAAGCTGCCCGTTGAGCTTCTGAATACTATCGTGGACCAAGTTGACGGACTCATGGACCGGGCTGAGGCCGGGGCGCTGAGGTTAGAGCTCATGGAAGAGCGTAGTGCGATGACGGAGGAGAACACGGAGCAGGTCTTCGCCGTCCCATTCAATATGTGTGAACACTAGAGTACTTGACCTCATCATGTTGCATTGCGGACACACAGTGGCAAACTTCGTGCACTGCTGAGACGAGCATCGTGCTACTTACAGCTGTTTGCAGAACAATAGGCCACCCTACGTTCTACACACACAGAGATTTGCTCCACTTCGCGCCGGCCGTCGACACGGGAATGGCATTAAGCGCCAGTACCAGTTAATCCGGGTCAACTTGAATTGACTAGTCGAAAGACCCCATACCCTTGCTCGACGACGCCTTCTCGAAGCGAGCTCCGTAAGTGAGAGGGGCTTACGACTAGCGCAAAACCAGACTTTTTTCCACCAAGCGAATGGCTAGCGAGGCGGTTTGAGCGAAAGGACGGGGTTCAACGACGCTGTGACACATCACGCCGCATGTGGGGCAAAGCGGTGCGGTGGCGTCGTGTGTAGAACACAGGGTGGCCTATCGTTCTGCAAACAGCTGTAAGCCTTGTTGTGATACGTATATTGAGAGTACTTTCGGTCTCCGCTCAATCCGCGGGAAAGTACGTGATCCGCGATCAACCATCGGCGCGCAAAGGCCGATGCAGACTCACACTCGCGTCAACCATGTCTTGACTTCGACTATACCTATACCCTCACGACTCACGTCGTCAGATAAGCAGAGATGGTGGACTATACATATCTCCAAACAGACATGGCATGCACAAGAACTTGAATCCAGTCACTCTCTTCAGAGTCACTATGTGTCCCACGTACTACGCCCGAGCCAACATGCTTTCAATGGGCCATTTAAAAGACACGAGTACCGAACATGCCGAACCGCAAGCTGCATCTTCTGCCCACCTCCCCCTCCTGATCTTGACCCTTCAAGGTCATGTCGCTTGTCCTAACCACAGATTGGCCAACGGGGGCAGCTGGCGAGGAACTGTCAGGCGCCTACCGCCATCCCTTTCACGACCGAAGCGACGCTTGGGATGATTGGATCGAGGACCGCCCCGTCCCAGTGCGTCTGAGGCCCATGCCTCATCGCTCAAGTTGACTAAAGCTTATCATAGGCGAACGAGCGCAACATGTGCGCCCTCTCCGCCGTTCTTCGCTCGAAGCCTCAGTGGTGGACCAAGTACACGGACCCGGAGATTCGCGCTCGGTGGAAGTCTGAAGCTGTCGGCGCACCTGTTCCTTACGGCGATATCTCACTGAAGGAGGAGGAAGTCGAGTATGTGCTCGAAGAGCTTGCACATTATGCTGCGACGCGTGATCCTGTGACAGGCGTAGAGGTGCGTATTCATTCGTGTACGGAACCCGAACCCCATTCTGACTTGTGGGCTTCAGGCCTCGATTTCTGCACGCATCTGGCAATCGGATAGCCTTGTGGACGATGACCTACGCAACGAGCTCCTGTCATGCGTTGTGAAGCTCGAGGACGTACCTGAAGATCAAAAGGACTGGCACCCCAGGGCGAATGGACAAGTTCTAGATCTCGTCCACCCGTCCCTATACCCCGGCGTCTACGGTCACACTGTAGTCCAACCCTATCCTCTATCGCAAGAGCCGCGAGCCGTCCCGCGCCCTCAGTACGCTGTAGACCCCGCTACTATCGAGGTGCCCGATAATCCTGGCCATCACCTATCGAAGGACTATCCCGAGATGGTCAGCCCCACGTTTGTCTCGCAACGCTTCCAATGGTTGCCTACAGACTTCGTCATATCCGAAGACGGGAGGTCCGCGCACGCTCTTGGGTACATCAACAACCTTGAACCACGTACTCATGCAAGCACCTATCCAGTCCTGGAGAAACTGGTTGCTCGTTTCGTGCCATTGTGGGAGCGTGTGTTAGGAGAAAGTGCAGCAGGTTACTTCCTACCCTCACGTGTGGGGAGCGGCTACGAGAAGCGTGAGCTTCGGGACTGGACCGAAGATGACGGCAACGATGGGCCTCCTTTTGAGATTATCCTCCCCAGTCTACGTGGTCCATGGCAAGGGCACCCCGCTCCTCCCACTGTGAACCTTAAGGGGCGGACACTGCAAGTCATCATTAAACTGGCAAACATATATCTGGTACGCTAGCCTGGGGGTTACTACATGCATGAAGCACACGAGTCTGACTCTACATTCAGACACCTGAGAAGCCTGAGTATGCTGGCGGTTCATGGCACGTCGAGGGGATGGTCAACGAGGCTATCGTCAGCACTGGCATATACTACTACGACGAGGCCAACGTCACAGAGAGCCGCCTGGCATTCCGCGCTGCTGTGAATTCTCCTGATGTTGACCAAGACGACAACGCTGGTTAGTACTCTGTTTGCTCGACCCGAAGCTCACTCCTGAATATGAGCTCATGATAGGGGCGATGGCAACGTTTGGGCTGGAGAGAGACGATGCTCTTGTGCAGGCGCTCGGTGCCGTCGTGACGAAGGCCGGGCGTTCAATCGCATTTCCCAACATATACCAGCACCAGGTTCAGCCGTTCGCTCTCGCAGATCCCTCCCAGCCGGGTCACCGCAAGATACTCGCGCTCTTCCTTGTGGACCCAAGCCTCGAGCACCCGCGACCTTCCACGACGTATGTGCCTCCTCAGCAGCGCGAATGGATGTACACCACCATACGCGCTCTCGCCACATCACCTGACTCGCGCTTGTCGAGGTTGCCTCTCGAGCTGCTCGATGCTGTCGTGGACAATATTGAAGGGCTTATGGATCGTGCGGAGGCAGAGGCGCTAAGGCTGGAACTCATGGATGAGCGGACTGAGATGACGGGCGATAATGCGAACCAGGTGTTTGAGGTCCCGTTCAATATGTGCGAGCACTAGCATTCTATGTACCTTATTCGGAATCATGGGAAGAACCAACTGATAGCTGGACCATTGCTTACAGCGTGCGATTTGCTGATGAAGCGAGCATGGGTGCCCACGCTCACGCTAGGGAAGTAAGTATGTGATGGGAAAGACCGCCACTAGAGCACACAGACATGACATTAAGTTGAATACGGCCCATCCATCGAGTCAACAAGGCTATACACAACCGAGAAAGAGCACAAAACGATACTCCCTGAAGTGCTCTTGTTAAAGGACAGTAGAATATTTGATCAACAATTTGTCCAGAGACGTGGGGACAATCTGTAATCTCCATGAGAGCCACGAGCTGGTGCTACGTATCTTGATTGGTAAGACGGAGACAGTGACAGTCAATACGCGACGTATGGAGGCTACGGGTTCGCGGGAGAGTGAGGCGTAATGCGTGCAGCCTGTGAGTACCATGTGCCACACCTAACCCGAGCCACGAAGCTGCCACGTCGACGGAGTTGCGTGATCGAGCGAAGACCGCCCGACCAAGACGAGAATAAAGACGAGGATGGTGGGATTGCGCCGCCGGCAACTCTGTGCACCTTCACACAGACCGTGAGGACCCTCTCATGTCGCTCATCGGCGACAGCGAGAGTGGTGGCTTCCGCCAAGGCTCGAGGGCCGGACCATCGTGGTTGTACTCGCCACGTCAGCGCGCTCTCTCACCTCCACGTGCGGCCAGGATTTTCGAGAGCATTCAGGTCCCAGAGCACGGCGTATCTTATACCGCCACTGCCACGACGCCAGGCGCCAGTTCTTCCCTTCTATCATGGAGGCACCGTGGACTGTAACGTCCGACGAGTTACTCGCTCACTTCGCGGTTAATCCCGCGCACGGTTTAAGCCCGGACCAGGTCAGCAAGCACGTTGAGTTATACGGCAAGAACGGTACGCATTCAGCACTTATAGTCATGTACCCAACTCATGTAACATAGAGCTACCTGAGGAACCCGGCACACCACTATGGGAGCTTATCCTTGAACAATTCAAGGACCAGCTCGTTTTGATCTTGCTCGCGTCTGCTGTCGTGTCCTTCGTACTTGCGCTACTCGATGATGCAGAAGACGCAACCTTCTTTGGCGCATTCGTAGAACCCTCAGTCATTATCCTCATCCTCATCGCAAACGCAACGGTCGGAGTAATTCAAGAGACGAACGCGGAGAAGGCGATTGATGTACGTGATAAGGTTGGTCCATGACATGCTCGATGCTAATCCCTTTCTAGGCTCTGAAGGAATACTCTCCGGACGAGGCAAAGGTCCTGCGTGCGGGTCAGATTGCCCGTCTACATGCATCTGAACTCGTTCCTGGCGATATCATCGCTGTCGCCGTCGGCGACAAGATCCCGGCCGACTGCCGCCTCATCTCCGTTTCTTCAAGCAGTTTCCGCGTCGACCAGGCCATTCTTACCGGCGAAAGTCAGAGCGTGCACAAGTCGACCGATGTGGTTGCCGATCCAAAGGCGGTGAAGCAGGACATGACGAACATACTCTTCTCCGGTACGACCGTCGTAAATGGTTCAGCACATGCGGTGGTGGTCTTCACGGGCCAGAAGACGGCCATTGGCGACATTCACAAGAGCATTTCTTCGCAGATTAGCGAGAAGACGCCCCTGAAACGCAAGCTCGACGACTTCGGTGACCAGCTTGCCAAAGTCATCTCCGTCATTTGTATCCTCGTCTGGCTTATCAACATCCGCCACTTCTGGGATCCTGCGCACCACGGCGCTCTCAAGGGAGCTGTTTACTACTTCAAGATCGCCGTCGCACTGGCTGTCGCAGCTATCCCGGAGGGTCTTGCTGCTGTTATCACCGCATGCCTCGCGCTTGGCACGAAGAAGATGGCTCAGAAGAACGCTATCGTGCGCAACCTGCCCAGTGTCGAGACGCTCGGTAGCACGAACGTCATTTGCTCGGACAAGACTGGTACTCTGACGACCAACCAGATGTCCGTAGCGAAGGTGCGTATTTGTTTTCAGTGTGCAAAGCGTCCGAAAAGTTGAACGCAAGCACAGTTCGTTACGGTGAATGCGGCGGGAAGTGCTGTCCAGGAATTTTTCGTGGAAGGCAGCACCTTCTCCCCACTCGGATCGGTGTCGTCCGCTGACGGCAAGGGCGCGAGCGTCGACCTTCGTTCGGAACCGTTGCAGCGCCTGGCCGAGATTGGTGCCGTTTGCAACGACTCAAGGATCATATACCACGCCGTGTGTACTATAGAGCTCACGCTCGCGACTCATCTGACATCCTCGCAGGAGAAGCAGCAATATACCAACGTCGGTGAACCTACGGAGGCTGCACTCAAGGTCCTCGCAGAGAAGATCGGCTGCCCAAGCAAGGAGCTCCTTGCCTCTCTCCCGTCAATGGATCCGGCTACCCGCGCCAGCGCTGTTTGCGACTACTACCAACGCGAGATCCCCCGTTTACTCACCTTCGAGTTCTCGCGCGACCGCAAGATGATGTCCGTCCTCGTCAAGCTGCGCGGTACCGGCGCGCTGTTCGTCAAGGGCGCGCCCGAGTCTGTCCTTGACCGTTGCACGACCGTTCTCGTCCCCGGCGGCGCTCATGCGCCTATGACACCCGCCCTCAAGCAATCGCTTCTCCAGCAGACGGTCGCTTACGGTGCTGATGGTCTGCGTACGCTGGCACTCGCTTTCGTGGACGTCGCAGACATCGATGCTTCACACTACAAGAGTGGTTCTTCAGCGGACTACGCGCGCTTCGAGCAGAACCTCACCTTCGTTTCGCTCGTTGGTATGCTTGACCCGCCGCGGCCTGAGGCGCGCGGCGCTGTGGCCAAGTGCAAGGCGGCGGGTATTCGTGTCATTTGTATCACTGGCGACAACAAGGGCACCGCAGAGACGATCTGCAGGCGCATCGGCATCTTTGGCGAGGACGAAGACTTGACGGGCAAGAGCTACACCGGACGCGAGTTCGAGGCGCTTTCCCACGACGAGAAGCTTGCAGCGGTTCAGCGCGCCGGTCTGTTCAGCCGCACGGAGCCCGGACACAAGAGTCAGCTTGTCGACCTCCTCCAGAGCCTCGGACTTGTAGTCGCCATGACCGGTGATGGTGTCAACGACGCACCAGCGCTCAAGAAGGCGGACATCGGTGTGGCTATGGGCAGTGGAACGGACGTCGCCAAGCTCGCTGCGGACATGGTGCTCGCAGACTCGAACTTCGCGACAATAGAGAAGGCCGTAGAGGAGGGCCGTCTGATCTACAACAATACCAAGCAGTTTATTCGCTACCTTAGTACGTCATGCTTTCCTATCCCTCTTCGCGCATCTCTACTGACTACTGCTTCGCAGTCTCCTCTAATATCGGCGAGGTCGTCAGTATCTTCCTGACAGTGCTTCTGGGCATGCCCGAGGCGCTCATTCCGGTTCAACTACTCTGGGTCAACCTCGTCACGGACTCGCTCCCCGCGACCGCGCTCGGCTTCAACCCACCGGATCACACCATCATGCGCGTCCCGCCTCGCAGCTCGCGCGAACCTCTTATTTCGGGGTGGCTCTTCTTCCGCTACCTTGTTGTTGGCGCCTACGTCGGAGTTGCCACTGTCGCTGGTTACGCATGGTGGTTCATGTTCTACCAGGGCGGCCCGCAGATCTCGTTCTACCAGCTCGTGCGTACCTTCTGGTCGTCGCATAGACCACATGTGCTGACCATCCCTTGTAGACGCACTTCCACCAGTGTTCTTCGCTCTTCCCCGAGATCGGCTGTTCCATGTTCACGAACAAGATGTCACAGCACGCCACGACGATGTCGCTCAGCATCCTCGTCACAGTCGAGATGTTCAACGCGATGAACTCGCTCAGCGAGAACGCCAGTCTCTTGCGCCTACCGCTGTGGAAGAACCCCTTCCTGGTCGCCGCCATCGCTCTCAGCATGGCGCTTCACGTCATGATCCTCTACGTACCGTTCTTCACCAGCCTCTTCGCCATCACACCGCTCAACACTACTGAGTGGTCCGCTGTGTTTTGGCTCAGTGTGCCCGTCATCGCTATCGATGAACTGTTGAAGTTTGTCAGTGCGACGTGGATCGCGCCGGCAAGCAAGGTCAAGATTGACTGAGCTTATTGGGGTTTCGTGGTGGATGCTTTGACTTCGGGGCTGGGGCTATTGTATCTGTAGACATACTTACCAATGCACTTGAAGACTATTGTAATATGGTTGTGTGGACAAAATAACAAATATTGTTGACTACTCCAGATGAATAAGGAACGAATGAGCGTGAAGGCGACAGCGGAGGCTAGATGAATAGGCATTGTTGAAGGATGCGTCTACGGGACATAGAACAACCGCCGGGCGCCTCGTGTTCGTAGGTACATGAGCGGATTGCAATGAGAATATTGAGTGTCAAGAGTATAGGGCTTTGAGTTCCATTTAGCCAAGTATCGTATCATACCTTGCGGACATCCCGCGCACGCGGAAACTGTTGACTATCACTATCTTGCTTCACTCAGTACCGTCGTTGGGTATGAGCCATTGGTACTGCAGAGGAATGTCCAGTCCAAGAAGACGGTAGACAGCTATCTCGAGGGGTCCAAAGTCTGGGTCAATGCTGAACTCTTCCGGGGGATAGCTATCCTGAGGTGCCAAGTAATCGTTGCATGACCATGGGAGAACAGCCAAGGCGTCGTCGTCGCCTGTGGAGAAACCATCAGCGGGAGGCCACTCGTTCTCCCAAAAGAAGGGAGATCCTGCATGCGCAGAACTTAGAGAACCATCGCTTGAAGCATCTTGAGACGTCGAGAACTGATCACTCAATCCGAGCGTGTTCTCATCCCATGGAAACATGTCCTGCCATTCGTGAGCTATGCAGTGCGTTTGATATGATGATTGCGAACTCACCTCGAGAGGCATAAGCATGTCACCCACGATAGCCTCTGGAAGCTCTTCGGCGGACCAGGAGGTGCCGTCCAAATTCGAGTAAGCCAATTCCTGGGTCAAATAATCCCCGTCGCCGAGGACGTCAAATTCAGGGCTGGCTAACTGCCAATCATTTGACAAGTCGTCTTCCACAGAAAGAGAGTCGGAAGCCGTGTGTGCAGGCATGAATGGCGTTGATGGCGAACCGAGGGACGCCGTGGACAGGTCTAACGGAGCAGCATAGGGCACGCGGTCGGTGCGAGCTCTCTTCGCCTCAGGCTCGCCTACAGAGTTGCAGCCTTCGGATGAGGTAGATAGAGCCCAATTCGAACTTCCGGACAGATTGTTCTCCCTAACATCGAACTCCTCGAAATTATCCTCTGTACGCTTCCTCTTAAAGGAAGAGCTTGAATAGAAAGGTCGGCTGGCACGATACGCAGCTATCTCCGCATCTGTGAAGGGTTCGAGGTGAATGACCCGTGGAAAGGTGTCAAACTATGCAAGCGTCGTCAGCGGTACTTTATCTGGAGAAGACCAGCGTACATACATTATCATGAGATGGCGCAAATTCTTCCATTGGTCTTGACGCTGGAGACTGGCAGTCTGAGTAAGATAAGTGGTCGGGCGATAGCAGATAGTGGTGAGCGAGAGAAGTAGCAGAAGGATCGCTGACCTTTAATATCACAGAGAAGACAAGGGCATGTCCAGGGGGTCCAAGAAGCCAGACAAAACAAGTGCGCATAGAGTTCAACAAAGCCGGGCTGTGCTGTGTCGTGCAGAAGCGACGCCTTGAGCCACCGACACAGTGCGATACGTAGAAGAGCACGAGGCTCAAGCAGTGCATCTATGACAATGGAGGATGTGAGTCTAGTGGGAACGAGACAACGCACCTACAACTCACGCAAGGGTAGCGTATCCAGGTCTAACACCGACGAACAAGCTTCAGCCCCGTACACAAAATGAGAAGCCTGGAGTGACAATGGATCAGCAGCCCGCGACACCCGAGCGTTGTAGCTTCAAGAGTCATCGAAGCTACAGTCGGTTGGTCGCTGAATGCATCTGGCCCATCGATGATGGGGTGTATCCGCCTTGCGCAGAGACGCGACTGTTAATAGCGAACGAACCGATAGCGGTCGCATTCGTCATTGTCCACTTTCGCGTCTGGGACCTCTCAGTGATGTGTATGAAGTCAAGGACCTCAATACGGTAGCGAGCTTTATCGGCCAATATGACTCGAGAACGGTGGATTCAAGACAAGGTGATGGTCGTCGTTTGAGGCACGACGGAAGGGCGCGCGATATGGGCTCTACGCCCGGTCCCGGGCCGAGAAGCGGACTTACTACGAAAATATATTGTGTGTGCTTTCCTCCGACCTCGTATCACTTGATTCGCGGCTATATATATTCGCAATGTGAATCCTTGTCGCAGCTGCAGAGCACGAGCACATCGCTATCAATCTCCTGCGGCGATACTCAATTTGTGCGCCGGGATGCATGGCAGCGAGAGTGGAAAAGCTCATGTATTCTAGGTAACGCAGCGCAAGTCGCTATGGTACATCATAGTGGGACCAGTCGGATCGCATGGAAGAGAGTCATGGGAAAGAAGGCGAAGCTGGCATGGCAGTCACCAAGCAAGTGGCGAAGCCGATGGAGTTATGCATGTACAGTATCGGTAGGTCAAACAATCACACGGTCGGCCCCGGTATCGTACATCCTCTCGGCAAAAGGAAGAGAAGGGGGAAGGAAGAAAAGGTAGGTCATAGGTGGATCGAAGACGAAGGTAGGAACCAGAAGGATAGAAATACACAGTACAGCAATGGGAAGGTCGTCCGTTTACGAGCGATATGGCACAGACAGCACGAAAATGAAGGTCAGAAGTGCAGATCGACGAGCAACACTCCCAGACCGGACTTCTTGACCCAGTCCTTTGGGGCTCGTTGATCGCTCTGCTTCCTGAGCGCTTTGACGAGCGCGCCGCGTGATGGGTGCATCACGCGGGCGAGCGCATCGGGCCCTTCTTCGCGCGCGACAAGGTACTCGCGTACACTTATGAATGCGCGAGACTTGAGGAGGGCGCGTGCGGCGGTCAATGTGCGCGGCACGACCAGCGTCGATTCAGTGGACGGCGACGGTGAAGATAGGATGCCAAGTTCGACGATAAGAGCTTGCAGAAGCGGGAGAAGCATCCCGTTATTGGTCACAGGTGGCGGGTTTGCTAGATATCTAGTGAAAGGGTGCATCAGTATTTGGCCGAGTTCAACCCAATATAAATCGAACTTACGATGCGATGTACTGCTGCGCCTTGACGACAGCCATGTCTCTTGCACGCTCGTCGCAATCCGAGTCGCTCAACTCGCTGAGCGTATCCGAGAAATCATCGACAACGCTCATCCCTGTCGTATCGCTGAAGTCATCGACGACCCCTTGGCCGAGACCCTGGCCCTTCGCGCGTTGGGCAGCAAGACGCTTCCGTGCCCGCCTAGACATCGGCACCGTAGGTGGTGCAAGGTAAGACGAGGCTACACTTGGCGCACGTGAGGCCGTAGAAGGCGCGGAGGGTGCAGGCGATACAGGCGGTGATGGATATGCCGAACCCGGTACTGCGGCGGCCGAGCAGCGCGAGATGGAAAGCTCAGAAGGCGTAGGCGATGCAGTGCGCGCTCGCCGGCGGCGGCGCTTCGCACTCGGCGAGACGGGCGCTGCCGTCGGCTTCGGGATTTGCCGCTGCTGCTTTGGGCTCGGGGTCTGCTTCTTCTGGGGCTTGGGCGTGCGCGTGAGCGAGAGGGACGCGAGCGCGGTTTCCAGTTCGGCATCGTCCGTTCCATGAACTTTCTCCTTCTCCTCGGGCACAGGGGCTACAGCGGGCGCAGATGAGGAGGCAGGCAAGGGCAAGGCGGGGTTGCGAGACGCAAGAGGCGTGTGCGGCACGAGGACAAAGTCGCCGTCGTCGCTTTCCGAGAACGTGCCATCAACGGACGGCGAGCCGGCAGAAGTGGCACTTGTAGTGTCCAAGTAGACGATCTCCTCGTCGGTGAGAACGTTGACGTTGCTCCAGCCTTTCGAGCTCATCGCGCAAGAGAGTGAGATAGACCGGGGTCGGTGTCGCGAGAAAAGAACGAGAGGTAGAGGACAAAAAGCAAGAAGCGAGGCCGCGGTGTGTGCGGCCGCGAGGCGAAGGGCTTTATGAGGGTCTTATGAACCTCGATTTGGAAGTCTGACTTCGCGATCGGGTTCCGGCAACGTCCGGCGCAGCGTCGGGGAGCAAGTTAGACGGTGGCGAGAGCACGAAGGACGACGAGGACGCTAGTAGAGACAGTGAGAGCAACTGGCAAGTTATGGGCTCGGCGCTACTGCGGCGCTCTATACCCTGGAGACGGTGCTGATCCTGGCAGGCAACGTACCCGGCGCGCTTCCCGCGCCGTGCGTACTTATATCTCACTGGCTCCATGCTCTCTCGTACAAATGTACACATGCACGGACACAGCCTCCCATGACCAAAAGGGGGGTCGCTCATCAACAATAGATATTTCACGATCGGCGAAAAGGGCCACAGTTCGCGTCCCGACTCCCGACGCCCGCACACACCGTCTCCGCCGGTCGCGACGAAGTCTCAAGTCCACGAGGCTATCACTTGATGGTATGCTTGAGCTGAGCGCGCGCCTATGGTCTTGTTTCGACCAGGATAGCACTGCTTCACTAGCTTTGAGTGTTCACCTCGTGTATCTCAGGGAAGCCTGCGCGTCTCGTACACATCTGTCCATCGCAACGAATGTACAAAGCGACGGACGGCATGGCTTACGCCAGCCTGATGGGCGCATGATGCAGTCAGTGCTGTGAGCGATGCTCTGAAACATGTATGCACATGTATCCATAACTGGGATTTGGAAGGAGAGCAAGTACCTCTCAATGTGATCGCAAGCGGCGTTGTAATCGCGTTCGCCACCGATCCCGTTGCGCGGTGCGCCCACTTGTACTGGGGCGCGCATATGAAGAAGCTGGTAACATGCTTCCGCCTCGAGAGAAGGGAATATCTTCGCGTATGTATGGAACACAGCGTAGGAAGTTCCACTGGTATGGATCAATGCCGGAGTTAACGCCAGAGAGCAAGTAGAGACGAGCACAACGACCGCATGGCCCAGTGACTGCGCAACAGGAAAGTCAATGCTTCGGAAGAGAATCCAAGTTACCGCTGTTGGCGATGGGGAAAGACAACTCGTCCGCGAGCTCATGTAGCAAGCACAACTTGATGTTAGCATTTACAGCCTGACAGCCTAGCCTAGCTAGGATAGACCAAAGACCAAATGGAAAGCGCGGTAAGGAGGGGGTAGAGGGAGGACAGGGCAGGGTTAAGCAATAAAAAAGGACGTCGTCGACGATGAAGACGCAGGCGTAGCACGAACATGACAAAAATAATCCTAATGAGCCAGAGGATAAGTAAGCACAAGCAACAGCACAAACTGGGGTGATCGGGTGGGTATACTAGGCTACGCTTCGATAAAGAACAGTGGCCAGTCCAAAGGGTCCCGGATAGGAAGTGGGGTCACAAGAACAAGCGAGCACGGTGCAACCAGGCGAAGGACTCGCGTTATTGACGGGTAGTCTACGCGGCCATGACCAGGCTGCCGAGGCCGTACAGCGCGTAGTTGACTTGGTTGAGGATCTGGGGGTTGCTGCTGGTCACCTCGAGGGAACCATCGGTACCAGCAAGCGAGGCACCGGCGCCGACGAGGGAGGCGGTGGCAACAGCGGAGCTGGTCGGCGCAGCACTCGACGTCGTGGTGGGCGTCGCCTTGGTGCTGGTGGTAGTGGGCGTCGAGCTTGTGCTGTGGCTCGTGCTCGTGGGCTTGGTGCTGGTCGTGTGGCTCGTGCTGGTAGTAGCAGGCGGGGTGTATGCCGGAGTAGAGCTCGTAGTGTGCTTCTTGCTGGTCGTAGTCTCGGCCGGAGGAGTGTACGCCGGGGTCGTGCTGGTGGTGTGCTTCTTCGATGTCGTCGTCGGGTCCGCCTTCTTCGTCGTCGTCGTCTTGGTGTCGCTGCCGCTGTCGTCGCCCGAGGACGAGCCGTCGTTGAAGTACCAGGTAGCGTAGATAACACCGGTGCCGGCGTCCGCGAAGTGCTCGAACAAGCCCTATTTCATGTTAACAATTGATCCCCTCCATGATGCTGATCATGATTTACCTGGGTCAGGTCGAGACCACCGACAGGGCAGCCAGGGCACTCGTCGACGATTGTGGCAGTAGCCGTCTTGCCTCCGTACTCAATCGTGATGCTAGCACCGCAGTGGGGGCTCTTCCAGTACGTGCCGTACAGGTCGGCATCGAGAGCGACGACGTAGTCGCTGGCCGAATAGAATCCCTCGCAGGACGTCTCGCCGACGGTGATATCTGCATAGCCATATGTTAGACTCTGTTTGTTTTGATGGGACCCCCGAAAGTGGAAATCCACATACCGTAGTAGGTCAAACGCGCGTTGGTGTACGAGGCGCGCTTCTCAACCGAGCGCTCCTCGACGGCACGTTCGGTAACATTGCGCGCAACAAGCTCATGGTGGGCAGCACGGCGGAGGTTGCGGTGACCGGCGGCGCTAACGGATGCCGCGGCGGCGATGGGGAGGGCGAGGGTAGACACACGCATCGTCAAGTCGAGTAAAAAATGAGAGTGGTGGTGAGCGAGTGAAATGCAGCAAGTTCACGCTGCTGGACAAAGGGGGACGAGGGCTGCGCGCGGAAACGGCGAGGCGGAGGTGGGTGTAGAAGTACAAGAGAGGCGCGGGTGCGGCCTCGGCCAGCCGTATGCCCATCAGCCTAGCGACAAAGTTCATGTTGACGACCGGAAGATCAAGCTTTTTGTTCCTGGCCATTGTCCCTCCCTTTCCACCCCACTCAAGCTTTCTCTCTTCCTTTTTCGGTGGCGTTGCGTAGCGCCACTCGATATCGAAAGTCTACTGTCATTTCCGACATAGGCGCTGGGAGTGGCAGACCTCGCCGCACACACGTTCTCTGCCTTCTCTTCTTGAGTTCTTCCGCGCGGGATAATCTGATGCGTTCCGACGGCCGGGCCACCGCCACGCGGGCCCAGCTGGCCTTGCCAAGCGGGCGAGTATGTTGAACGACTGCGCGCGACGAACACATAAGTACCAGCAAGGGACTGTAAGGGGCACAAAACATTATATGCACTTCGCTCTGAAGAGGGCACACAAGGGTATCTACGATAGCTATGGCCAAATAACATCGACCTGAACGAGCGACAACACCATGAATGGTGGATATGACAGAACAGTAGGGATAACAGTCAGGAAGGGTGAGTCCAATGTATGATGCGACAGAAGGGACGCGGTGAGGGTTTAGTGCATGACCATGGCGCCGAGGTTGACGATGGCCCCGTACAAGTCGACAATGTTTTGCGTCCCGCTGAGGTCTTGCACGCTCGGGCTGTCAACAAGGTTGAGGCTCACATCCGCTGCAAGACCAGCCGTAGGCAACGATGGGGCACTGCTAGTGGTCGGGGCAGCGCTGCTAGTCGTGGGCTTCGCGGACGTTGACGGCTCCGCGGTCGTAGTCGGGGTCGTGCTGGTTGTGTGCGTCGTGGTCGGCGGCGGCGTCCACACAGACGTACTGGTGGTCTTGTGAGTAGAGGTCGTCGGCGGAGGTGTCCATGCGGGCGTAGTGCTGGTGGTCGTCGGCTTGGGCTTCTCCTTCGTCGTGGTCGGCTCCGGAGCGGGATCACTTCCCCCAAGACCGACCCAGGAGCCGTAAATGATGCCAGCGTCGGCACTAGCGAAGTCTGTAAAGAAGTCCTGCGCAAGATCCAGCCCGCCGTCGTTAGGAGGAGGAAGGTAAGCTACGATGTACACTTGAGAGGGGGATGCAGACACTCACAACCACAGCCCATGCACTGTTCACACGCTGTCAGATGACCTCTGTGCGACACTGTGTGTATGAGAGAGAACGTACCTCGTCGACAATCTTGGCTGACTTGGTTGTACCCTGGTACGTGATGGTGATCGTCTCCCCACAGTGCGAGCCACCGTCGAACTGTTGCGCGTTGAGCGCAACGATGGCATAGCCGTTCTGGTAAAATCCGCCGCACGCAACCCTACACAACAGGTTATCATCTGGGTCTCCACTGCAACGAACATCTGCGCAAAAGATACTCACTCTCCAGCAGTCACATCATAGAAGGAGAAGCGTGCGTTGCTGAAGGTCTGGCGCTTAGCGAGCTGGCTGTCACCGCGCTTCGCATGTTGGCCAGCATGACGGCGGCTGAACGCGCTTCCATCATGGCCAGCGAGAGCAGGCAGAGTCAAGGCCGAGAACGTAGCAAGAGCAAGAGTAGTGCGCATTGTTGACTTTATGCTTTATGCGGGGTAAAAGCAGGGGTATAAACGGTTACTATGATAGTAATCGCCGGATGAGCGTTAAAGAGGGTGTGTTGAGTGAGCGTAAGGCAGCCGGGGTGGCTGGGCTGTTTTTCACGAGCAGAAACGAGTCGCGAGGACGAGGCGAGGCTGGTGGTCAGAAGCAAGTTTCGAGGGAGCGATGGGGTCCAGACTTTGGGTGGGCGCTTCGGTCGCTAGCGCCCGCACGTTGATCAATTCAGTGTTCCGCGAATCCCGTTTAGGCTTTCTTGTTCGCCGTGAGTTCGCCGTTGCGGGGTTCGTTGTCATTGGACGCAGGGGACTGGTGTAGGTACCCAATACTCTGTGCACACTTTGTACAGTACAGTACGTTCACCAAGTATGCCTTTGAACCTACAATCCTCTTCGACCTCTCAAAGCTCACTCCCGCCACGACCGTGGGCGAAGCGTATTAGACGCGTAGCCAGCGTGTGTACGGATATGTACACGGCGGAGCAGATGACGCACGAATTTCGGGGTCTTTCTGATGAAAAGATTCAAGATCCAAGGGCGAACGCCGCTCAGCCCGGGCAGCATCGCGGGTTGCAGTCGAGCTTCACCAGTTTGTATAAGCTGGTAGACAAGCATACTAACTGAGAGCACAATAGGTTCGAGTCCACGAAGGCGTCAAGGTGATATGTGCTTATTGCCGTTTGCAAAATCGGAACGCGTGCGCGTCTATTGTCTAACCCTAACCCCGAGACTCCCACGTCCTCTCAAACACGATTGTTACCGTTGTAATACTGCTGACACCGCTCGCACGTATGGCAAAGGCGATAATAAATGAGGTTCATGATTAAGGCCCCAAGCTATGAGGCGCAGACCAGAGTATATAAAGCAGCGTACAGAAAGCAAGCTTGAGTACACTGGTGAAGGCGACGGGAGACCAGGGATGACTGAACCAAGGAGAGGATAGACGCTTGAGAGCGTACGATAAGTAGGGAAAGCACTAATGGTATCATACAACACGTAGCACTGGGTATACTGGCAAGCAAAAACTACTTGTCGGTGTACTACGCGGAGCCCTTCTGCGTCAGGAAATCAGCTCAGCCCGTGGATTCTGTTCTCGACACGCACCCAGTTTGCTTCAATTACACCAGAGCTGATATCGTCGAGTGCACTGTAAAGTCCTTTTGTAAGGTCAAGACCGCCACTTGGGCAAGATTCGCACTGGAAATACAATGTTAGTTGCCAGAAACCGGCGAGAGCGTGAAGAGACGCGGGAAAAGACGCACGCGGTCAACGACCTTCGCCTTCACGGTCTTCCCCTTGTATACGATGTCGATCTCAACACCACACCAATTACTGGAGTCGTACTGAGGAGCGTTCATTGCGACGACGTAGTCACTGTAGGCATAGCTGGTCAGGGACACTGACAAATAGAGAGTGATTGATTGACGCACTCGTTGGAATACCACGCTCCGCAAGCAGTCTCGCCCGTAGTGATATCGTACCACGTCATACGCGCATCGCGCTTGTGAAGGTTGCTAGTGACTCGCTTCGCGAGCGCAGCATGGTCGATAGTAGCCGCTTGAGCGGCAGGGGCGACGAAGGCCAAGACGGCCGCAGCGAGAATAGACAGTTTGACCATTTTGTTGAGTTTAGTATATAACAAGTGAATGTGTGAGATGAAAGAGTGTGAGCGCAAGTGGCGCGAGCCTGTGCGTAGGATGAGATCCTGAGGAGTCGGAAGGGCAACCGGGGTTGGTGGTCGAGACGCTCGCTTGACGAACAGGGTTTATAAATCTATGAGAAGGCGGCACGACGGGGGTGTGCCCCAGACGATCACGGTGGAGCGCCCGCCCACGAAGCTTTGTTGGACTTCTAGCATATGGTTCCGAGGCCGCAGCATCCCGAATCTCGCGTACGTGCAGAGCCTCAGACAGCAAAGCGACTGCATCTACTGGGCAAACCTGCAGGAAGCGAAGAAAGACGGCTCTATAGGACCGCGTATGTGAAACGGCGATACCGGGAGTAGGAAATGCCGGGTATAATCGAGCGGCTAACAGTGCGCTATAACGACATCGGACATGAGGTGGTGGTTCGAAGATGGACCTCATCGAAACGTGGCCGGCTTGATGCGTCCAGATGCGGTCACCTCGAACCGCCGAGGACTCCGTCGGCCTACAGTTGGTCTCCTGTGGACACCGGTTGATGGAGGTCAGCAGTACTACGCTGGTCTTACATGAAGGTAGAAGATAGAAGGATACCTGAAGCTGAAGTCTGATCCTCCCAGCGTGGCGGGGGTAGGTGCTAGAATGCCATTGCACGATGGTGATAATGAGATTTGAAGCAAGCGAGAGCGAGAGCGACGATGAGTAAGGCTATTATACAGACAACTAGAGAGGAGACAAAGCCCGCAAACGGTAGAGCATGTGCGAAGTAGCCAATCGCTCAAACCAACTTCCAATAGACCACGCTATTCCCAACCCCTGCAAGCGCAACTTGCTCAACCTTAACTCCACGACCCCACACACGCCCAGCCAAATCCCTGACCTCCTTAGCCTTCGTACTCCTCAGCACATATCGCGGCCCGCCCGGCGTAACGTGGACATTCTCCGGTACGGCCACACTCGACCGCTTGCCATTGCCCAGCTGACGCTCGTAGTTGTTTCCCCAGGCCAACAAATCGCGGCCTCCGCCTCCGGGACCCGCGCGAGACGCAGTGTCGAGTGTGCAAAGAACATGACCATCTGGGGATACGGAGAGTGCGTGCGGCGAGATAGGTTGAAGGTTTCCGTGCGCCTCGGAGTCTGAGTGTACCGAGTTAGCAAACTTGGAATGACGGTCCAACTCAGAAGCTACGAACATTCAACAAGCCCGCTGACTGCGCGAGTGCGGACAGGTGAACCCTGCGCCGAGGTGAATATACCGTTCCCGAGCGAGCCGAAACGGCCGTTTCCGCATGCGAAGAGCTCGACGCTGCCAATGCCTGATGCGTCGCTCTTTATCGTCTGGAAGAATGCCAGAGCACCACCTGCGCGGATATTTGTGCAGCGAGCGCCGTAACCAAAGACTACCTCCGTCGGTACGCTCACGGTGTTACCAGAGACGACATTACGGAGACCGAGTTGGCTGAACGAGATCGCGTGAGCGGCGCTAAGATATGTGATACGGAGAGAAGACTACGAACCCAAACTCATTGGACCCCCAACTCAACACGCGACCCGTATTGGTCAGAACGTAGCTGCTCTTCGCGCCGGCAATCGCCTGCTGTACCTTCACGCCCCTGAGTGCTGGAATCTCGAACAAGCGGTCAGACCAATGAATGCTGCTATCATCGATGCCCCGCAAGCTCTCGCTGACGGGTTGCAAGTCGAGTTCTTGGCGCTCTTGAATCGGCGGTGCAGAGTCAGGCTTGATCAATCCCTCGAGTAATGGCTCAAGCTTGGGACTGATGATGCGGGCCACGCGAGTCGAGTTTGCGTAAGGGTCAGCGACAGCAAGTGGCGTGAGCTCCGCATGAATGCGAGCGTCGGTGGAGGACGTAGGCGAAGGAACGTCGAATTTGCGGAAGCCAAGCTGGCCGTACTCGTTCGCCTTGAAGGTGGCTGCGTGTGCAAACGTCCGCCCGGAAGACGTGGTAGCAAGAAGATGGTCAGTGCCCGCTGAGATGTCTGTTATTCTGAGAAGGCGTCAATACTTCTGGCGCATACAGAGAGCGCGACGCTCACTTTTCTGTCCAACCCAACTTTTGCGCCGGCTGCAACTCAACGAAATCACCGTCCTTCGGACTGCTGAACCATCCACCGCCCGTTCCTGCTGTCGCGTTTCTTTTTGTCGATACGACATAGACCTTCCCCGACTTGCTGAGTGCGAAAACACGGTTCTCTGCGACTTGAACTTTGATGAGGTCCTATTGGCGGGTGAGTACCCCTATTACGATACGACGCCAAGCGCACTACACACCTTGCCCTGCAAAGTCAGAAGAGGCTTCTTTTCGTTATGCGAGCCTGCGCCCCATTGATACAAGTCGCCTCGTGCGTCGACGGCAGCACCGTGGTGGGCATGTAGTGCAAGGTCCCGAAGGGCAACGTTATCCAAATACCGTACCGGTGAGGGCGATCCAGCTTCTGCGTTCTGCGGCGCATCAGGAGACAGCACGCCCGAGCTACAAATCCTATATATTAGAACATTCTGTCCCTTCTAAAGCAGATGTGCGTTCATTATAGCCGCGCACGCCTCGGCCACGCACCGATTTGTTCCCCATCCGAGTGAGCGTAGAACTCCGTCGTCGTCAAGTTGAGAAACTAAGGTTGGTGTAGTGCTGATAGCCGCACTATCAAGAGCACTCTTCGCGTTCGGGCGCCCCTCTGCTTCGTTGTGGATTACGTTCTGTCCGTGCACGCTCTCCACGAGTTCATAGGTAGCACACGCCCCGGCAGCCGCTACCGCACCGACGAGTAAGCCCGTACCAGAGGCGCGAGCCTTTGTTTTGGATACACGCGCCGCGGTGTGTACCCCTCGTGCTACTGTGCGCGAGAACATGACGGTCGGCGGCTACTTTGGCTTGGGAACTTGGACAGCAGCGTCACTGGACGCGACGTAGCGGCGTGACCGCGAATGATCTTCCGCCAGCCTCAGGGCACCGATCGAAGCCCAATCTGATCCGTCTCACGCGACGCTAATCTTTCCCGCTCCCCCGCACTTTCGGCACGATGCAAGCGGCGTGGCTCTCGGTCGCACACTTGAACGGTTATTAAGTAAAAGGTGTAAGGGATCGGCCCCAGCTTTACTGCACACCACCACTACCACCCCCGAAATCTGCTCGACTACCCTACACGCGCCGTCAGCGCGAAACGCCGTCCAGCCATCCTCGCCCGCCGCCACACTACACATCGCCCGCGCCAGTCATGCCTCTGGACCGCGCAAACCCTCCGCCCGGTGCACTCCCACTACTCGTCACCCAATATGCTATCACGGGGCACCCGCGGCGGAGCGAGCATTGGGCCTTCGTCATCGCCCGCAGCGCCCGGGAGGGCGATCTGCACGAATTACGGGGCAATAAAGACAGCTTCACGTACGTTGTCGAGCGGAACGCCAGGTTCGCAGCAGCCATCGCGATCCGCGGAGGGGTCCATGTCGGCTGGGTGCAGCCAACGCCCGCGGGGCTTAAGCACTTCATTGGCGTCTTGCAAACGGAAGTCCCAGTCATACACTGCGACCCGTTGTGGGACAGTCAGAACTGGACGATCGAGGCGTTGCGGGCACTCAAGGATGCAGGCTTCGTCTTCCGCAACGTCTCCGAGTCCAGCTTACGCAAGGAGATGCGCGACGAGCGGGAGCGATGGGAATGCGCCGACGATGTCGTATACGAGCGCCTGTTCGCTGACGGCGAGTTGTGCACGAGCCCAATCAGTCCGACGAGCACGACGTTCCAGCATTGAGTTTGAGGGTACAGACGTAGTAGACCTTATCGGTCCGATATCGTCAGCTGGTCCATGCCGCAGACGTGAGTTGCCGCATCTGACATCCGCCGCTCAGTTGGGGTCCGAGGGCCGATTGCGGCACAGGGCGCCAGGGGAGAGTATAGGTCCCGGTTCTGAGACCTGAATCACATTGTTATATCTTGTATACCCACACTGTCCATCCGCATGATCACGTATATTATCACTTGCTTCCCGCCAAATATGTATGAGTCCGTGAAGGTTGATCATAGCGTGATTCCGCCGATAAATCAGCTGGCAATCCGTGCGGCGCCGTCCGCGCTGTCAAGTACGGGTTCACGCCATTCAGCCTAATCCTCATTAGTGTATCCCGAGTATCGGTAAGTTGTAGCGTGAGCCCACTCACTACAACGGTCTCTGACGCATTCCCTTGGCTGTCCACCTCCCTCCTCTCGCTTCCTTCTTTGATGCTGGGAACGTTGACCGTCTTCGCCAATCTTGCCAGAACAGCGCCATCCATATTGAACTTGTTCGCAAGGTTCGACAACTCCTGGTCAGATTTGACGGATAGACGCTGTTCAAGTAGCGTGGCGAGAGCGTAGCCCCATAGACGGTTGCGCGGGGTAGTTGCGCCTGCGGCGTCCGCCTCTGCGCGAGCACGAGACTCAAAAGCTTTCTGCACAGCGGCATGCTATATGAAAGTGCGCATTTCAGTCGAAGTCGGCAAACGCGAGACGAGGGTACGGTAGGCTTTGCCGGGTAAGACCGGCCAGGGTGAAGATACACATACTAGTCCACGACGGATGATATTGATATGTACTTACCGTCCTCTCGGTCTCCATACGATGATCTACTTTCACTTGTCCCAGTTCGCGCAAGTTTGCCAAAAGCTGCGGGTCAGATGCGTCCCGTTCAATATCTTGAAACTATTTGAGTCTCGTCGCACCATACTACATCGAGGCCAGCGCACCCTCGTCTTTGAGCTCGCTTGCGCGGGCAACAGGATGCCTCTGAGGCCCGGGTTGCACGGCATTAGGTCCCGGCCCAACATCTGTTGGACCCGGTGTACGGGCGCCTGCCCATGGTGGCGCTGCTCGAGCAGCAGAAGGCGTTTTTGGTAGGGTACGAGCGGCTTTGGACGCAGAGTTACCCATCGTTGGCTACGAGCAGATTGTATGTATATGTTCTAGGAGATGGTGGCGTAAAGCAAGATGTGACGGCGGCGAGGTGACGCCGTCGCAGACCCGGAGTCGGCGCGTCGCGTCATCGACGCGTCTCGATCTCACGCGAGCGCGTTTTGCTCACAACCACCACGACCTCTCACTCTGTGCATCGGTTCACGATCCGCACTCTCCTGTACACGCCCCAGACGGACTTTGCCGCCAATCTCGACTGTCAATCGCGACAGACTACTGTACCTCATACCTGTCTGAATACAACCATTTTACTTGCCTCATTCTGACTCGAATTATTGGCACAAGTCGCTCTACGTTTGTGATTGACCACATCTCTCGTCTTGCTTTGCTCCGTGTACATAGCAGGTTTGCAGTCATGCTGTCGCATATCCATCCAGCGGCTGTCTTCGGGCACGCAGTATCTGGCGTCGACGCCGCCATCAGCACTCTGATTTCATATAATTGAGTGGTTGCGATATGTAGGTCTATCAACGTATGCGATACCATGCGGTATGTGACGTGCTCTGGCGTTTGCTCCTGTGCTTACTGTAAGAGCGCGCTCCTCGCATATACACTTGAAATGAGGGAAACGCGATGGTATCGGGGAGCATCATGATGCGTGTTGAGTATATTCAATTGCAGCAAGTATACAGATGGAGCTGACATACGCAAAGCTCTCGAACCATACTAATCGATATACCTGTAGGTGTACGTCCTTCGAACGTACAGTGTATCACCGTCAAACGAGACGGTCAATTATCCGGAAGGGCTGGGACGTTTTGAACTCTTCGTCAAGCCATGAAACTTGGGCAATCCAAGAGTATACATAATAGCTATGCTAGAAAAAATTCCTAAGCCTGTAGAGGGCGAGGTTGTGCTGGTAGCGTACAATCAGTGTAGTGATGCGTTATCACGCCATCCCACCAAACCGGACAGCCCGATAAGATCCTTCGCCCTCGTCGCCCATGGTCACCTCACTGTCTCATTTCCTCTAGATTTGGACAGCATAGTTGGCTATTCTACTCATGGTGGATCTGCTTTTCTCGAGTCGTCATCGGGTGTGTGGGAGCCGCAACGGGTACTGGTTGGACTGGCCATCAAGCCATTCTCACGCTCCTCGCCGCGGCGATTTTGAACACCAGGTGTTCAAAGGACCCCCGAAAGCCCAGCCAGAGGTCCGATATGCGCGGCGGCTCGGTGGGTACGGAAAACCCTAGGGTTAGGGT